GTGTGTGTGGTGTTGTGTTTAGGTGTGTGAGGTGTTGTGGTTAGGTGTATTGGGGTTAGGTGTGTGTGGTGTTGGGGTTAGGTGTGTGTGGTGTTGGGGTTAGGTGTGTGTGGTGTTGGGGTTAGGTGTGTGTGGTGTTGTGGTTAGGTGTGTTGTGGTTAGGTGTGTGTGGTGTTGGGGTTAGGTGTGTGTGGTGTTGGGGTTAGGTGTGTGTGGTGTTGGGGTTAGGTGTGTGTGGTGTTGTGGTTAGGTGTGTGTGGTGTTGGGGTTAGGTGTGTTGGGGTTAGGTGTGTGTGGTGTTGGGGTTAGGTGTGTGTGGTGTTGGGGTTAGGGGTGTGTGGTGTTGGGGTTAGGTGTGTGTGGTGTTGGGGTTAGGTGTGTGTGGTGTTGTGGTTAGGTGTGTTGGGGTTAGGTGTGTGTGGTGTTGTGGTTAGGTGTGTGTGGTGTTGTGGTTAGGTGTGTTGGGGTTAGGTGTGTGTGGTGTTGGGGTTAGGTGTGTGTGGTGTTGTGGTGTTGTGGTTAGGTGTGTGAGGTGTTGTGGTTAGGTGTATTGGGGTTAGGTGTGTGTGGTGTTGGGGTTAGGTGTGTGTGGTGTTGGGGTTAGGTGTGTGTGGTGTTGGGGTTAGGTGTGTGTGGTGTTGGGGTTAGGTGTGTGTGGTGTTGTGGTTAGGTGTGTGTGGTGTTGGGGTTAGGTGTGTGTGGTGTTGGGGTTAGGTGTGTGTGGTGTTGGGGTTAGGTGTGTGTGGTGTTGGGGTTAGGTGTGTGTGGTGTTGGGGTTAGGTGTGTTGTGGTTAGGTGTGTTGTGGTTAGGTGTGTGTGGTGTTGGGGTTAGGTGTGTTGGGGTTAGGTGTGTTGGGGTTAGGTGTGTGTGGTGTTGGGGTTACGTGTGTTGGGAGTTAGATGTGTGTGGTGTTGGGGTTAGGTGTGTGTGGTGTTGTGGTTAGGTGTGTGTGGTGTTGGGGTTAGGTGTGTGTGGTGTTTTGGTTAGGTGTGTGTGGTGTTGTGGTTACGTGTGTTGGGGTTAGGTGTGTGTGGTGTTGGGGTTAGGTGTGTGTGGTGTTGTGGTTAGGTGTTTTGGGGTTAGGTGTGTGTGGTGTTGTGGTTAGGTGTATTGGGGTTAGGTGTGTGTGGTGTTGGGGTTAGGTGTGTGTGGTGTTGGGGTTAGGTGTGTGTGGTGTTGGGGTTAGGTGTGTGTGGTGTTGGGGTTAGGTGTGTGTGGTGTTGTGGTTAGGTGTGTGTGGTGTTGGGGTTAGGTGTGTGTGGTGTTGGGGTTAGGTGTGTGTGGTGTTGGGGTTAGGTGTGTGTGGTGTTGGGGTTAGGTGTGTGTGGTGTTGGGGTTAGGTGGGTGTTGGGGTTAGGTGTGTTGGGGTTAGGTGTGTGTGTGGTGTTGGGGTTAGGTGTGTGAGGTGTTGGGGTTAGGTGTGTGAGGTGTTGTGGTTAGGTGTGTGTGGTGTTGTGGTTAGGTGTGTTGGGGTTAGGTGTGTGTGGTGTTGGGGTTAGGTGTGTGTGGTGTTAGGGTTAGGTGTGTGTGGTGTTGGGGTTAGGTGTGTGTGGTGTTAGGGTTAGGTGTGTGTGGTGTTGGGGTTAGGTGTGTGTGGTGTTGGGGTTAGGTGTGTGAGGTGTTGGGGTTAGGTGTGTGTGGTGTTGGGGTTAGGTGTGTGTGGTGTTGGGGTTAGGTGTGTGTGGTGATGGGGTTAGGTGTGTGTGGTGTTGGGGTTAGGTGTGTGTGGTGTTGTGGTTAGGTGTGTTGTGGTTAGGTGTGTGTGGTGTTGGGGTTAGGTGTGTGTGGTGTTGGGGTTAGGTGTGTGTGGTGTTGGGGTTAGGTGTGTGTGGTGTTGGGGTTAGGTGTGTGTGGTGTTGTGGTTAGGTGTGTGTGGTGTTGTGGTTAGGTGTGTTGGGGTTAGGTGTGTGTGGTGTTGGGGTTAGGTGTGTGTGGTGTTGTGGTTAGGTGTGTGTGGTGTTGGGGTTAGGTGTGTGTGGTGTTGGGGTTAGGTGTGTGTGGTGTTTTGGTTAGGTGTGTGTGGTGTTAGGGTTAGGTGTGTGTGGTGTTGTGTTTAGGTGTGTGAGGTGTTGTGGTTAGGTGTATTGGGGTTAGGTGTGTGTGGTGTTGGGGTTAGGTGTGTGTGGTGTTGGGGTTAGGTGTGTGTGGTGTTGGGGTTAGGTGTGTGTGGTGTTGTGGTTAGGTGTGTTGTGGTTAGGTGTGTGTGGTGTTGGGGTTAGGTGTGTGTGGTGTTGGGGTTAGGTGTGTGTGGTGTTGGGGTTAGGTGTGTGTGGTGTTGTGGTTAGGTGTGTGTGGTGTTGGGGTTAGGTGTGTTGGGGTTAGGTGTGTGTGGTGTTGGGGTTAGGTGTGTGTGGTGTTGGGGTTAGGGGTGTGTGGTGTTGGGGTTAGGTGTGTGTGGTGTTGGGGTTAGGTGTGTGTGGTGTTGTGGTTAGGTGTGTTGGGGTTAGGTGTGTGTGGTGTTGTGGTTAGGTGTGTGTGGTGTTGTGGTTAGGTGTGTTGGGGTTAGGTGTGTGTGGTGTTGGGGTTAGGTGTGTGTGGTGTTGTGGTTAGGTGTGTGAGGTGTTGTGGTTAGGTGTATTGGGGTTAGGTGTGTGTGGTGTTGGGGTTAGGTGTGTGTGGTGTTGGGGTTAGGTGTGTGTGGTGTTGGGGTTAGGTGTGTGTGGTGTTGGGGTTAGGTGTGTGTGGTGTTGTGGTTAGGTGTGTGTGGTGTTGGGGTTAGGTGTGTGTGGTGTTGGGGTTAGGTGTGTGTGGTGTTGGGGTTAGGTGTGTGTGGTGTTGGGGTTAGGTGTGTGTGGTGTTGGGGTTAGGTGTGTTGGGGTTAGGTGGGTGTTGGGGTTAGGTGGGTGTTGGGGTTAGGTGGGTGTTGGGGTTAGGTGGGTGTTGGGGTTAGGTGGGTGTTGGGGTTAGGTGGGTGTTGGGGTTAGGTGGGTGTTGGGGTTAGGTGTGTTGGGGTTAGGTGTGTTGGGGCTAGGTGTGTGTGGTGTTAGGGTTAGGTGTGTGTGGTGTTGGGGTTAGGTGTGTTGGGGTTAGGTGTGTGTGTGGTGTTGGGGTTAGGTGTGTGTGGTGTTTTGGTTAGGTGTGTGAGGTGTTGGGGTTAGGTGTGTTGGGGTTAGGTGTGTTGGGGTTAGGTGTGTGTGTGGTGTTGGGGTTAGGTGTGTGAGGTGTTGGGGTTAGGTGTGTTGCGGTTAGGTGTGTGTGTGGTGTTGGGGTTAGGTGTGTGAGGTGTTGGGGTTAGGTGTGTGAGGTGTTGTGGTTAGGTGTGTGTGGTGTTGTGGTTAGGTGTGTTGGGGTTAGGTGTGTGTGGTGTTAGGGTTAGGTGTGTGTGGTGTTGGGGTTAGGTGTGTGAGGTGTTGGGGTTAGGTGTGTGTGGTGTTGGGGTTAGGTGTGTGTGGTTTTGGGGTTAGGTGTGTGTGGTGATGGGGTTAGGTGTGTGTGGTGTTGTGGTTAGGTGTGTGAGGTGTTGGGGTTAGGTGTGTGTGGTGTTGTGGTTAGGTGTGTGAGGTGTTGGGGTTAGGTGTGTGTGGTGTTGGGGTTAGGTGTGTGTGGTGTTGGGGTTAGGTGTGTGTGGTGATGGGGTTAGGTGTGTGTGGTGTTGGGGTTAGGTGTGTGTGGTGTTGTGGTTAGGTGTGTGAGGTGTTGGGGTTAGGTGTGTGTGGTGTTGTGGTTAGGTGTGTGAGGTGTTGGGGTTAGGTGTGTGTGGTGTTGGGGTTAGGTGTGTGTGGTGTTGGGGTTAGGTGTGTGTGGTGTTGTGGTTAGGTGTGTGTGGTGTTGGGGTTAGGTGTGTGTGGTGTTGGGGTTAGGTGTGTGTGGTGTTTTGGTTAGGTGTGTGTGGTGTTGTGGTTAGGTGTGTTGGGGTTAGGTGTGTGTGGTGTTGGGGTTAGGTGTGTGTGGTGTTGTGGTTAGGTGTATTGGGGTTAGGTGTGTGTGGTGTTGGGGTTAGGTGTGTGTGGTGTTGGGGTTAGGTGTGTGTGGTGTTGGGGTTAGGTGTGTGTGGTGTTGGGGTTAGGTGTGTGTGGTGTTGTGGTTAGGTGTGTGTGGTGTTGGGGTTAGGTGTGTGTGGTGTTGGGGTTAGGTGTGTGTGGTGTTGGGGTTAGGTGTTTTGGGGTTAGGTGTGTGTGGTGTTATGGTTAGGTGTGTGTGGTGTTGTGGTTAGGTGTGTGTGGTGTTGGGGTTAGGTGTGTGTGGTGTTGTGGTTAGGTGTGTGGTGTTGGGGTTAGGTGTGTGTGGTGTTGTGGTTAGGTGTGTGTGGTGTTGTAGTTAGGTGTGTTGGGGTTAGGTGTGTGTGGTGTTGGGGTTAGGTGTGTGTGGTGTTGTGGTTAGGTGTGTGTGGTGTTGTGGTTAGGTGTGTAGTGGTTAGGTGTGTGTGGTGTTGGGGTTAGGTGTGTGTGGTGTTGGGGTTAGGTGTATTGGGGTTAGGTGTGTGTGGTGTTGGGGTTAGGTGTATTGGGGTTAGGTGTGTGTGGTGTTGTGGTTAGGTGTGTGTGGTGTTGGGGTTAGGTGTTTTGGGGTTAGGTGTGTGTGGTGTTGGGGTTAGGTGTGTATGGTGTTGGGGTTAGGTGTTTTGGGGTTAGGTGTGTGTGGTGTTATGGTTAGGTGTGTGTGGTGTTGTGGTTAGGTGTGTGTGGTGTTGTGGTTAGGTGTGCTGGGGTTAGGTGTGTGTGGTGTTGGGGTTAGGTGTGTGTGGTGTTGGGGTTAGGTGTGTGTGGTGTTGGGGTTAGGTGTGTGAGGTGTTGGGGTTAGGTGTATTGGGGTTAGGTGTGTGTGGTGTTGTGGTTAGGTGTGTGTGGTGTTGGGGTTAGGTGTGTGTGGTGTTGGGGTTAGGTGTGTGTGGTGTTGGGGTTAGGTGTATTGGGGTTAGGTGTGTGTGGTGTTGGGGTTAGGTGTGTGTGGTGTTGGGGTCAGAGGTGTGTGGTGTTGGAGCTAGGTGTGAGTGGTAATGTTAGGTGACCTTTGTGACTAATGATCTGATATCTGTATCTGCTGTATCTGCTGTCCTCAGATGTTCCACTCAGATGTCAGCTAGCCCCTGATGCTGGCACCTGTCGAGGTTTTTCTCTCAACTGGTTCTACAACCCTCTGACCGGGTCATGTGACTCGTTTGTTTACACCATGTGTGGGGGCAACACCAACAGGTTTTCATCACCTGAAGAGTGCTATAGTACATGTAAGGGTTAAGGTTAGATGTAAGGGCTAAGGTTAGATGTAAATGTTAGGGTTAAGGTCAGATGTAAGTGTTAGGGTTTGCCATGTAATCAAACAATTGAAACAGATGCGTCCTACATTACAGGTAACATGAGTGCAAGCCCTTGTCATGTAAGTTTTTCATGTTTGTTTTAAATAAACTTGATTTAGCTTTTGCTTATTATAAACTTGAATTTAGCTTTGGTTAAATCTTGACTTGAATGCCAAATGTCTGTGTTTTGTTAAATCTTGACTTGAATGCCAAATGTCTGTGTTTTGTTAAATCTTGACTTGAATGCCAAATGTCTGTGTTTTGTTATATCTTGAGTTGAATGCCAAATGTCTGTGTTTTGTTATATCTTGACTTGAATGCCAAATGTCTGTATTTTGTTAAATCTTGACTTGAATGCCAAATGTCTGTTTTTTGTAGATGATGAAGTGTGATGGAGAGCAGCCATTGTGTCGACTGACCTACGACCCAACGTGCTTGAACTGTTCAGTCACAGCCACTTGTCAAGGTCAAGGTTAGATGCATCTACATCTTACAAACACTTTCATCTTATTGTTGAATGCTGACAATGGTGTTAATGTTGAATGTTGACAATGGTGTTAATGTTGAATGTTGACAATGGTGTTAATGTTGAATGTTGACAATGGTGTTAATGTTGAATGTTGACAATGGTGTTAATGTTGAATGTTAACAATGGTGTTAATGTTGAATGTTAACAATGGTGTTAATGCTGACAATGGTGTTAATGTTGACAATGGTGTTAATGTTGACAATGGTGTTAATGTTGAATGTTAACAATGGTATTAATGTTAACAATGGTGTAAATGTTGTATGTTAACAATGGTGTTAATGTTGAATGTTAACAATGGTGTTAATGTTGAATGTTAACAATGGTGTTAATGTTAACAATGGTGTAAATGTTGAATGTTAACAATGGTGTTAATGTTGAATGTTAACAATGGTGTTAATGCTGACAATGGTGTTAATGTTGAATGTTAACAATGGTGTTAATGCTGACAATGGTGTTAATGTTGAATGTTAACAATGGTGTTAATGCTGACAATGGTGTTAATGTTGAATGTTAACAATGGTGTTAATGTTGAATGTTAACAATGGTGTTAATGTTAACAATGGTGTAAATGTTGAATGTTAACAATGGTGTTAATGTTGAATGCTAACAATGGTGTTAATGTTGAATGCTGACAATGGTGTTAATGTTGAATGTTAACAATGGTGTTAATGTTGAATGCTAACAATGGTGTTAATGTTGAATGCTGACAATGGTGTTCATGTTGAATGCTGACAATGGTGTTAATGTTGAATGTTAACAATGGTGTAAATGTTGAATGTTAACAATGGTGTTAATGTTGAATGCTAACAATGGTGTTAATGTTGAATGCTGACAATGGTGTTAATGTGGACAATGGTGTAAATGTTGAATGCTGACAATGGTGTTAATGTTGAATGTTAACAATGGTGTTAATGCTGACAATGGTGTTAATGTTGAATGCTGACATCTGTCTCCAGTAAAGCAACCAAGCCTGAAAGTGTCTGGAATTTTTGTGGCCCAGTGTCAGATTACTGGGGAGTACATGCCCAAACAGTGTCATGACGGCTACTGTTGGTGTGTCAACAGTCAAGGTCAGGCTGTCACTGGGCTGACCAGGGCAGCCTCTCTCACCTGCAGCCCTAATGGCACTGACATCAAAACAGAAAGTAAGTAACCAGCACAATATCAAACCAGAGTCAGATGACTCAACCTTGAGAGTCAGATGACTCAACTTTCTCGTAGATTCTTATTGAACTGCAAGAGTTAGGGTGGCACTTCCAGCCAAATTTTGCTAAAGACATGTTAGGTCAGTTGTGCTATAGACATGTTAGGTCAGTTGTGCTATAGACATGTTAGGTCAGTTGTGCTAAAGACATGTTAGGTCAGTTGTGCTAAAGACATGTTAGGTCAGTTGTGCTAAAGACATGTTAGGTCAGTTGTGCTAAAGACATGTTAGGTCAGTTGTGCTATAGACATGTTAGGTCAGTTGTGCTAAAGACATGTTAGGTCAGTTGTGCTATAGACATGTTAGGTCAGTTGTGCTAAAGACATGTTAGGTCAGTTGTGCTATAGACATGTTAGGTCAGTTGTGCTAAAGACATGTTAGGTCAGTTGTGCTAAAGACATGTTAGGTCAGTTGTGCTAAAGACATGTTAGGTCAGTTGTGCTAAAGACATGTTAGGTCAGATGTGCTAAAGACATGTTAGGTCAGTTGTGCTAAAGACATGTTAGGTCAGTTGTGCTAAAGACATGTTAGGTCAGTTGTGCTAAAGACATGTTAGGTCAGTTGTGCTAAAGACATGTTAGGTCAGTTGTGCTAAAGACATGTTAGGTCAGTTGTGCTAAAGACATGTTAGGTCAGATGTGCTATAGACATGTTAGGTCAGTTGTGCTAAAGACATGTTAGGTCAGTTGTGCTAAAGACATGTTAGGTCAGTTGTGCTAAAGACATGTTAGGTCAGTTGTGCTAAAGACATGTTAGGTCAGTTGTGCTAAAGACATGTTAGGTCAGTTGTTGACAAAATCACTCATTTAAACTTGTAGAGGCAAAAATTCTTAGAATAAGCAACTTTATTTATAGAAGTAAAGTGGGGGGCTGTCCAGTTGTTCCACACACCTATTAGATCGGGGACTTGCATTTCAGTTGCAGGGAAATTTTTCTTGCCAAAGTTTGCTGTTCACTCTAATTCTAACGGGAAAATTCAAGTTATCTCAATAATCGAGTTTTAAGTGATAGAAAACTGACTGCAGCTTTCTATAAACTATAATTTTTTAAAGTGCTTGAATTAGATGGATCACTTGCAGCTGAGACAAAAGTACCCTAGGGTTAGGGGTAGGGTTAGGGTTAACCCTAGGGTTAGGGGTAGGGTTAGGGTTAACCCTAGGGTTAGGGGTAGGGTTAGGGTTAACCCTAGGCATATAGAATAGATATGAACCACATGAGCAGAAAAGTCATATTCAGGGGTTAAAATTGACTTGCTTGACCGCCTAATTTTATCTAGTAAAGGGACAAAACTGCCTCGCAAATTTAAACTATTAATTTCCCCCTTTCTTCAACTAAACAAAAAAAAGGAATACAGAAAACATTTGGAGAAAAGAAAAAATGCTTTAAAACTATAATAAACAGTTTTCCAATAGGTGTCAACATGAAATCATGTCTAATAACATATTTGATCTATGACTGATGTAAACAAAGTAACTATTAGTTCATTAGTGCATTTGGTGCACATTTTCCGATGCACAAGGGTATTTACTTTTAATTTGTAAAATAAATTATTTTTAACACTGCTATTCAAGGGGTTTATTTACTGCAAGCATTCATGAGAATACTCAAGGAAGTGAAATGCTTACACTGCTATTCAAGGGGTTTATTTACTGCAAGCATTCATGAGAATACTCAAGGAAGTGAAATGCTTACACTGCTATTCAAGGGGTTTATTTACTGCAAGCATTCATGAGAATACTCAAGGAAGTGAAATGCTTACACTGCTATTCAAGGGGTTTATTTACTGCAAGCAATGGCAACGATAATGAAAGGATACAATAAAGAATAAGGATGGAAGGAAGATGTAACTATGGCAACAAATAAATGCCCATAACAAAGACTCCCATTGACAACAAGTTAATTTGTTGACAGATTGCACCAACAACAAGCCTCCAAATTTGTCCTGCCTGCAAGTGTGTACTGGACAAAAGTGCCCTGCGTATCCCAATGCCACCTGTGTGGCAGATTTATGTTCACCCACCTGTGACAGGCAGTTTGTTGACACCACCGGCAGCCAGGTGATGTGTACAGGTAGGGTTGACCTCCAGTTGCCTCTTACAGGTAGGGTTCACCTCCAGTTGCCTCTTACAGGTAGGGTTCACCTCCAGTTGCCTTACAGGTAGGGTTCACCTCCAGTTGCCTTACAGGTAGGGTTCACCTCCAGTTGCCTTACAGGTAGGGTTCACCTCCAGTTGCCTTACAGGTAGGGTTCACCTCCAGTTGCCTTACAGGTAGGGTTCACCTCCAGTTGCCTTACAGGTAGTGTTGACCTCCAGTTTCCTTACAGGTAGGGTTGACCTCCAGTTGCCTTACAGGTAGGGTTCACCTCCAGTTGCCTTACAGGTAGGGTTGACCTCCAGTTGCCTTACAGGTAGGGTTGACCTCCAGTTGCCTTACAGGTAGGGTTGACCTCCAGTTGCCTTACAGGTAGGGTTCACCTCCAGTTGCCTCTTACAGGTAGGGTTGACCTCCAGTTGCCTCTAACAGGTAGGGTTGACCTCCAGTTGCCTCTTACAAATGTCAGTGAGGATATAAATAACCACACAATAACGTTGCCCTATGTCTTGAGGAAACAGCTGAATGTAAAAGGCAAGGTGTCAATGGTGGTGTGTCAATAGCAAGATGTCAATGGTGGTGTGTCAATAGCAAGATGTCGATGGTGGTGTGTCAATAGCAAGGTGTAAATGGTGGTGTGTCAATAGCAAGGTGTAAATGGTGGTGTGTCAATAGCAAAGTGTCAATGGTGGTGTGTCAATAGCAAGGTGTAAATGGTGGTGTGTCAATAGCAAGGTGTCAATTGTGGTGTGTCAATAGCAAGGTGTCAATGGTGGTGTGTCAATAGCAAGGTGTAAATGGTGGTGTGTCAATAGCAAAGTATAAATGGTGGTGTGTCAATAGCAAGGTGTAAATGGTGGTGTGTCAATAGTGGTGTGTCAATGGCAAGGTGTCACTGGTGGTGTGTCAATAGCAATGTGTCAATGGTGGTGTGTCAATAGCAAGGTGTCAATGGTGGTGTGTCAATAGCAAGATGTCAATGGTGGTGTGTCAATAGCAATGTGTCAATGGTGGTGTGTCAATAGCAAGGTGTCAATGGTGGTGTGTCAATAGCAAGGTGTCAATAGCAAGGTGTCAATGGTGGTGTGTCAATAGCAAGGTGTCAATGGTGGTGTGTCGATGCTGTGGATTGGCTCTGGCTAACTGTGATGTGAATAAAGTAGCATGTGGGAGTTGTTGATCCGGCCCTAAAAAGAAATATTACATTTTTTGACAGACAATCTGTGCAGTACTTTTACATTTAATGCAAGCAAACAGAAATCATGTTCTGGTAAGCTGTTTCATCAAGATTTCAACTGAACTCATCAGGATAATACAATTCAACAATTTAGCTTGCATGACTTTTTTTGTCAAATTTGAACATAGGTCCATCTTTGTGTGAAGAGGCAAAACTCTGCCCTGAGTCTATCTGTCAGAAAGTGAGCAAAGATTGCAGCCTGAATCCCTGCGCTATCTGTCTGACTGACCCCTGTACCTGCCTGCCATACTTTGTTGACGTCAACACACGACGCAATCTGACCCACAACCAGTGTCATTATTGTAAGTTGGATTAGGCCTAGGTTTAAGATTAAGGCTAGGTTTAGGGCTAGATTTAGGATTAGGGTTAGGATTAAGGCTAGGTTTAGGGCTAGATTTAGGGTTAGGTTTAGGATTAAGGCTAGGTTTAGGGCTAGATTTAGGGTTAGGTTTAGGATTAAGGCTAGGTTTAGGGCTAGATTTAGGGTTAGGTTTAGGATTAAGGCTAGGTTTAGGGCTAGATTTAGGATTAGGGTTAGGATTAGTGCTAGGTTAGGGACTAGGTTTAGGGTTAGGTTAAGGGTTAAATTAATAAGGGCTAGGTTATGGGTTTTGGCTAGGTTTAGGGCTAAATCTAGAATAAGGGTTAAGGCTAGGTTAAGGGTTAGGGCTAGACTAGAAGTCAAAATTCGCTCGCCGGTTTTGACATATTAGACAAAAACATGACAGAAAAAGCAAGTCAAATGAAAGCTTACAGACACTATTCCAATTGGCTCATGTATTTAGATTTCTGTAGCAAATAACATTTGAAATACACAGCCAATGGAACCATTTTCATGTGGAGTCTAATCTACTTCATATGGGTATCATGATCTATCAGATTTTTTCTTTGGTGCTGTATTGTTATTAGTTGCTCTATATCTACTTCATATGGGTATCATGATCTATCAGATTTTTTCTTTGGTGCTGTATTGTTATTAGTTGCTCTATATCTACTTCATATGGGTATCATGATCTATCAGATTTTTTTCTTTGGTGCTGTATTGTTACTGTATTGTTACTAATCCGAACTTGTTTTTGGGGTCCAGTGTCTACAGGAGTCTGTGCCATTACCACCTGCAACCTTTTGAAAGAGTCGGCTAGAATTGAGGCCTTCAAGTTGGATGAACTCAGCCCCTCCCCCCCTCAGTGTGATGCTAGGGGCAGGTTCTTGCCTCAGCAGTGCCTAGGGGAGAAGTGTCAGTGTGTCACTGCCTTTGGAATATCTGTTAGCAATCAGACATCAATCAATGAGACTTGTCAAGGTTAGTGTCAATATTCCAGTGTTAACACTAGTGTCAATATTCCAGTGTTAACACTAGTGTCAATATTCCAGTGTTAACACTAGTGTCAATATTCCAGTGTTAACACTAGTGTCAATATTCCAGTGTTAACACTAGTGTCAACCTGTCAGTGTTAACACTAGTGTCAATACTCCAGTGTTAACATGTCAGTGTCAACACTAGGCCCAGCAAGCAATGTTTAATTAATATTTTCAGATGTGGGGGATGTCAAACTAATCAAGTTAAATCTCAAGTTCAATGGAGATTTTAAAAAGTTTCAGAGAGAAAATCTGCTGGATCAAATTAAAAAGTAAGTTGCTTATGTTTGACAAGTATATAGGACATGTGAACTTAGGATGTGTAGAAAGAATTAAGTTTTGAAATCTAGGGCACTGAGCATAGAACTAGAAGACTATGAAACACAGCAGAACTGATCATCAAAGTAAATCCAGGTCAAATATGTATGTTTGTCAGATGACCTTGGTTAAAAGTGCAAGAAAAGGAGTGACCAGGTATACACATGAAGGAAATCCTTAAACTTATAGTAACAAGAGAGTGCTAGAAACATGACGACAGCAGTGTTACATAGTGTGCAGGTGCAGCAACTCTGTCGGAACAATGACAACTTTTGATAAGTGAGGCTATAAATAGCTCCTTTAAGGTCCTAATGTTGAGTTTGTATTCTATAGATTGGGGTTGAGTGTAAAACATGTCAGCAAAAAAGTCCCAGACTGGAATTTTTAAAATTTGTTTTATTCAAAAGTGCCTGATGGTAAAAGTTAGCAGCATACAACCTAACCCAACCCAACCCTAACCCAACCTAACCCAGCCTAACCCTAATTTGCAACATATATATAAATCCGTTGTTAAAATCAACCACATACCTTAAATTCATTGTCAGTTTGTTAACAGAAATCATTTTAAAAAATGTTCATGTTTGAAAAAAATGTAGGCATTAAGTTGATTAAGGGCTAATTATTTCCACTGTTGTTCCATTTTCATTGGGTTGAAATGTATTAGTTCAAACTCCTTTCTCTCATCTCTGTGTGGCAGGCAGGTGTGTGAGAAAATTGTAGAGCTTGGCATAGACCCCACCACCATCTTTTCTCTCTGTATAACAGGCAGGTGTGTGAGAAAATTGTAGAGCTTGGCATAGACCCCACCGTCTTTTCTCTCTGTATAACAGGCAGGTGTGTGAGAAAATTGTAGAGCTTGGCATAGACCCCACCATCTTTTCTCTCTGTATAACAGGCAGGTGTGTGAGAAAATTGTAGAGCTTGGCATAGGCCCCACCACCATCTTTTCTCTCTGTATAACAGGCAGGTGTGTGAGAAAATTGTAGAGCTTGGCATAGACCCCACCACCATCTTTTCTCTCTGTATAACAGGCAGGTGTGTGAGAAAATTGTAGAGCTTGGCATAGACCCCACCATCTTTTCTCTCTGTATAACAGGCAGGTGTGTGAGAAAATTGTAGAGCTTGGCATAGGCCCCACCACCATCTTTTCTCTCTGTATAACAGGCAGGTGTGTGAGAAAATTGTAGAGCTTGGCATAGACCCCACCATCTTTTCTCTCTGTATAACAGGCAGGTGTATGAGAAAATTGTAGAGCTTGGCATAGACCCTACCAACATCCTGGAACTGGGTGAGCCTTACGAGGGCAGCATCAAAATGGTGGTCACATTCCAGCTAAGCCAAGCCTCCCACAACCCAGATCTGATTGCTGTCTACTTAGCCCTAATGTATTCTGTAAGTGTCTTGAAGTGTACAAGGTGTTTGTTGTGTACAATTCAAGGTGTTTGTTGTGTACATGTCAAGGTGTTTATTGTGTACAAGGTGTTTATTGTGTACAAGGTGTTTGTTGTGTACAAGGTGTTTGTTGTGTACAAGGTGTTTGTTGTGTACAAGGTGTTTATTGTGTACAATACAAGGTGTTTGTTGTGTACAATTCAAGGTGTTTATTGTGTACAAGTCAAGGTGTTTGTTGTGGTCAAGATGTTTTCTTGAATATATCTGAAAGTTACTGTTACCCATTTGACTTAGCTTCAAACCAACTGGACTATTGTTGCTGGGAATGAAACTTTAGAGCTGGATATTGACTGGACAAGTCTCACTGTCCTGTCAACAGATGATGGTGTGCCAGACAAACACGCCAGCACTGAGGGCTTGTCTGCCAGAGATAAAATTATTGTTGGCTGTGTTGTTGGCATAGGAGGCGGCCTCATTCTTCTTGCTGGAATATTACTGGTTGGTACTAGTGTTTCTTCCAGACTTTTTTCTCCGGGGAGGGGGGGGGGGGGGGGGGGGGGGTTAAGGTACCAGTGGCAGGTTTATGTAGTGTCAAGTCCACAGAATACATTTTTTTAAAACAGAAATGAAATGCTTATCGAATTTTAGAACTCAATTGTTTACAAATTTCATTAGTCCAATGATTAATTCATTTGAAATTATTATTAAAAATAATTATTAAATACTATTGAAATTAACACACAAAAAATAATTATTAAATGGTATTAATATTATTATAAAAAATTAATTATTAAATGCTATTGAAATTATTATTAAAACATAATTATTAAATTATTATTAAAAAAATAAAATATTAAATGCTATTGAAATTATTATAAAAAATTAATGATTAAATGCTATTGAAATTATTATTAAAAATTAATTATTAAATGCTATTGAAATTATTATATAAAAAAAAATTATTAAATGTTATTGAAATTATTATAAAAAATTAATGATTAAATGTTATTGAAATTATTATAAAAAATTAATGATTAAATGCTATTGAAATTATTATATAAAAAATTAATTATTAAATGTTATTGAAATTATTATAAAAAATTTATTATTAATTGCTATTGAATTTATTATAAAAAATTAATTATTAAATGCAATTGAAATTATTATATAAAAAAATTATTAAATGTTATTGAAATTATTATAAAAAATTAATTATTAAATGCTATTGAAATTATTATATAAAAAAATTATTAAATGTTATTGAAATTATTATAAAAAAATTAATTATTAAATGCTATTGAAATTATTTGTATTTGTTACAGATTGTCTGTTGTCGCAATAAGAAGCACAAAGCAGGTGGATATCACGCAGGACTTGACAATCAGGTAATTTTCATGTAGGAATTCTGGTTCAGCAGTGGAATAGATCAGCAAGGGCCCATTGGCATTCAAATACTAGTGGCCCTTACCTAAGGGTGGACTCTTGGGTAGGGGGTGGACAAACCAGATAAGGTGCATATATATACACAGACACATAAATACATAATATATATATATATATATATTTGCATATCTATAATATAAGATAAACACACTAGATTTTGGAACCATAAATGCAAACGCACCATGCAGTGCTTTATAGTGCATCGCATTGTCTTATTATAAGTGATAAAGTAGGGTTTGTCTATATAACGACTCTAATTTATTTTATAGTTGCCACTGTTTTTACTCTTTTGCATAACGTAACGAAAATATTAAATACAAGCACATTGCGAAAACATATTAAGCGGATCAATGTCAAATATCATTTTCGTTTAGATTCATAGAAAAAGTGATACATTTTAATAATAATAGGGTCGAAAAACAAATTAAACTGTTTTGTCATTTTCCAAGGGAGGTAATTTAAAAATAAATTCAACTCACGCTAATTTAAAACAAGGTAATTAAAAAGTCTAGTGACAATTTTAGCGCTATTTCCTTATGTTATCTAAAAATAGCTCTGTCGTAGCGTAAATCAAGAGCAGGGTTAGTAAAACCATTGGTTAAAATACATGTTTTATTTACAATAGAGTTACATGACTAAAAACCATTGCGCGCCTAGCTACCGAATGTGATGGCGCAGCTATTGAACGTGATGACGCGTGTGGTTGGATAAAAATGCCTACTAATTCGGTCCAAATTTTAATTAATTCAAACAATTTTTTGTGACCTAACAAAAGGATATTTTTGAAAACTTTCTTCGGCAATATTGTTCTAAATTATGGCAGGAATCGATTGGTACATGTTTCAATTCTCTAAGTGGTCTGGTTGCCGAGATATGGGCCAAAAACTGCATTTTTTCGAGGTTTTTTGGCTTTTCCGGGAAATCCATGAAAGAAACCCGGAATTTTTTTTGGCCTATGTTCACCCTCGTAACTTGCTTAACATAATTGCTTTTGGAACTAGTCCTCGATATTGCTTCGTTGAGGAGGAGATACGACTTAAAGCTGCGGACACACATCCATTCATACATCCAGAAATGACGGGTTAATAAATGCAATTCTCCAGAATGGAAATTGCGCTAAAAATATGTGAATGCAAAATCTACGGACCTCCTAGAAGGAATTAGTGTTGCAATCATAGAATTAGCAAAATGTGAATGCAAATTGATGAGTGTTGTCTTTTGTGTTTGCATTCTGTTTGTGTTTTCATTTGTGTTGTGTTGTGTTTAGTTTTGTTCTGTTCCCAAGTTGGTACATTTAAAAACGATTTACCGAGGCGGAGCATGGGTATACAGCTAGTATATATATATACACACACATAATAAATGCTGACTTCTTTTCTATTATGTGCTTTGCTGTCAACTAACAATGAATTGTAACTTTTTCTTCCCAGTCCCTGAAACCAGCCATACTAAATTACGCTTATGATGATGATGATGATGCTGATGGCAGATTTATCAAAGTCAAATTATAAACAAATGCAGAAAGTTTATATATGTTGTAGCAAATAATTTTTTAAATAGACCTATATTTTTTCAATCAAATACATCTCATTGGACATGAAACTCAATGCAATTTCTAAGTAAAAGTATTCAATTGAAAGCTATTTCAAAACATCCTGGTCAAACAACCTCCAGCTTCTTGGAAAGTTAAGTGTGGTCGACTACCTATATTTCCTTCCAAATGTGTACCTTAGAAATGGTCTACTAGTTGTTTTTTTATTTTTTTATTATCAATATTTGTCAAAAATGTATTTTTAAATTAAAATGTGGATGTTTTGGACACAATACAATCAACTATTGAATTACTTCTGTACTCTTTTCTTGGTGTATTAAAATTTGTAATCAGAAATGAAGAATTTTTGACTTGTTAAATTTGTGGATGTTTGTTTTAGTAGAATAATTGAATGATGGCCCACCAGCCAGAGAAATAAATATTTACCACTACCCTTTATACCACTGAGCTAGAGAATATTTACCACTACCATTTTAACCACTGAGCTAGAGAATATTTACCACTACCCTTTATACCACTGAGTTAGAGAATATTTACCACTACCATTTTAACCACTGAGCTAGAGAATATTTACCACTACCCTTTATACCACTGAGTTAGAGAATGTTTACCACTACCCTTTTATACTACTGAGTTAGAGAATATTTACCACTACCATTTTAGCCCCTAAATGGGAGAATAGAGACCACAAGCTACTGATCAAGTTTTAGAATTAAGTTGAAGCAAAAATTTCATCAAGTTTTAGAATTAAGTTGAAGCAAAAATTTCATCAAGTTTTAGAATTAAGTTGAAGCAAAAATTTCATCAAGTTTTAGAATTAAGTTGAAGCAAAAATTTCATCAAGTTTTAGAATTAAGTTTAAGTTGAAGCAAAAATTTCATCAAGTTTTAGAATTAAGTTGAAGCAAAAATTTCATCAAGTTTTAGAATTAAGTTGAAGCAAAAATTTCATCAAGTTTTAGAATTAAGTTGAAGCAAAAATTTCATCAAGTTTTAGAATTAAGTTGAAGCAAAAATTTCATCAAGTTTTAGAATTAAGTTGAAGCAAAAATTTCATTTCGAACAAATCACTAAAAATTGAAGGGAAAAATAAACAAAAATAAGAAGCTTTTTTTTGGAATAGCTTTACTAGAATTTATTGTATATTATATTTTATATACTTTTAAAGAAAATCATTTCTGTTTTCCTTTTTAGTGCTTTTTTTCATAAAAGCTTGTCATTAAAAGGTTTTGATGCATTATTTTTCAGTACTTTAAAATTTTTAATGCAATAGAGTTGCATGATTAAAAAGAATTGAGCACTTAATGAAAGATAAATGATAGTGTGGTAAATAGTATTTTAAATAGGAAATTTTAATTAATTCTTTAAAAATGAATCAAGCATCCAATCAAGTCAAATTTGATGTCAGATTGTATTGTCATTGGCTGTTGAACAAGGAAGAGTGGAAGTTGAGATGGAGGCAATGCTTGGTGGACAAATGTTTATATTAAAAAAATCTTATTGAAAAAAGGTCCAAAAAATGTTATCACGAAAACATGGATTCTTAAAATAAAAACAAGCTTGACACAAAGTAGGAGCAAGTGTAGCCATTCTAGTCAAGTGTCAAAACTTTTGTTACTGCAGTAAACATTCAATTTGCAGCTAATAAATTATGATAATAATCTTGCAATTAAGCTTAATATGCTTTTGTTAACCCTAACCCTATTAACCATCTACACAAATGTGTATCTTAGGTATGACAGATACATACACACTTTTATGGCTTTCAACCTGATGTTATCTTCTAATCAAATACGAATTTAATTATCAAAAACATTTTGTATATTTTTAGAAAAATAGAAGCATGCAAAGAGAAATCTGATAATAAAATACACAATATGAAGTTTGGTAAAAAAAATGTAAATTAATTTAGACCCAAACAAAGTAATATGTGGTAAGTATCAAAACTTCCATAGCTCAAGTCAAATGAACAGGAAACTACAAGTTAAGGTACTTCACAGTTATACAGATGTTTTTCACAAAGGCCATTTAGTATCTATCAATCTAGGTGTATATGAATTATATATATATATATATATATATATATATATATATATATATATATATATATATATATGGAATGGTACTTAATATGGCACTGTCATTTGTTATAACTATCAGAGCTGTAGAACGTCTCTAGTGCGTGCAGTGATGTGATATTCTTTCAGCGCACTCCATTTGTATTTATTTTTATTGGGAAACAAATTTTCAGAACAAAACCCTAGGAACTCTATTCATGAAATATTTTGTATTATTTAGCATACTCTTAGTAATCATGGTACTATTATTATTCAAAATTGTAAGATCTAAATATGGCACAATTATTATTTAAAATTGTACTACAAAATATGACAAAATTACTGTTAAAAAATATGACCCATTTACAAAGAAACTTGCATTATAAAAATTAAATCATACTTTTTGGCTTGACAAAATTAATAAAAGTGATAAAATTATAAATGCAAACTAAACTAAATGCTCATACATAAACAACTGTTGGGATGAACAATTATGTTCTTTAACATTAAAACATTTGAATTATGTTCATCTTCTTTAACATTAAAAATCTGAGAGTAGAAGATCAAATCTTACTAGCAAAGTCAGTTTGATTTAAATAAGTTTTGCTAATAAAATTGATGTAAGAGGTATACAGCAACGTGTATATCTATTTAAATATATACATCTCTATTGAAACACACACAAAAGTTGGAAAGTTGGCCCTAGGCCCCGCATATTCCTTACGCCGGCTTCTGTCAGATCCCCTCCATAATGACATCACACTACTATCAGTACCCCTCTTCCCTCCCCCTATGGTTGTCATTATTAGGTATTTGCTATCTCAGTGACTGCCACTCAAGGTAACACTGTCAAACTGAACACACAGTTAAATTATCCGCCCGAGACATCCCCCCTCTTTGGAGAAATTAACCCCATCACTTACCCCCCTGGGGAATTACCCCTCTCCTCCAAGCTCAAGAATCCTGACCCCAATTCTAACTCTAGACATATATCTTACCTTAACCCTTTATCTACTGACTGTACTTATAAGTACCACTTTAATTAAGTGCCTGTATTATTTTTTATTTTATACGAATTTTAAAAATGATTGATGTAATTAATAGTATTATCTCCCATGAGTTGCCGGTAGTTGGAGGGATTGATATTTTTTGAAAATTTCTGCTGTGGCGCCATTTTCAATGTCTTGCTGTATCGGTAGTTCACAATTGTTCTGTACAGTTCTCACACATGTTCATGATTTCCCTTTGTTTTACCTTATTTTTCAAGTTTTCAACCCCAAATATTTTTTATTGGCACCTTCATTAGTCAGGCAAATGCATTTAACTTCTAGTTATACAATTTTCATCAAATTGTCTTTGTATTAGATCAATGTTTACAAGTGGACTTATAAGTACCGTCAAGGCACACGGTCATTTTTTTTAGGATTTTTAGAAAATGGCAGATTTGGAGTGACATAAATATTATTTTGATAATTAATAATTAAAATGCACTAAAAAAAATTATATTTACACATTTATAAGAAGGTTAGCATATGGTTTACCTAAGAAATATTGTAATTACATGTTGATTTCTAGTAGTAAAAGAATAACAAGAATAAAGGTAGCAGTTGCAGGCTCGTTTACTAGGTTTAGTATACTTTCATGTATACCAAAGTGTAGTTCTAGTATTAAGATTTAACTTGTTAGTTATATTTACTGCAATAAACTGTCTTGCCTACAACAACTAGCATTTACGTAATGTATACCTGTAGACTAGTGATAGTCTATACTTCTGCATATAGTATAGATCTATATGGTAAATTTTAATCAGTAAACAGAAAACAGTAGACCACTACGGCTATCCTAAACACATTGACAACTTTAGCTGTGTTTGAGGTCTAAGATGTGTTCCACTAGAAAATCCAGTTAAAATCGTACTCAAAATATACTTTTGTGCTGTATTTATGTGTGAAAATGACACAAATGAGTGTTATAATAATTACCATGTTATTAGTTAATACATTGTATCATTTGTTGCTGTTTTGTAAATTTTTTATTTTTTTTGGAAAAAATGTCCTAGATTCCTGACGGTACTTATAAGTACCAATATCTGTTTGGGCCATTAAAAATGTATGAAACAAAATTTCCTTAGACATATGCTTTAAGTGTGCCAATAGAAATATGATAACACATTGTTTAAGAAAAAATTTCATTCAGAACCTAATTCCGTAAAGAAAGGGTTAATTCTAACCTTAAGAAAAATCCTAAACCTAAGCATTCACCTCAGCCTAAAATTAAACCCAAACACAACCCTACACATTAGTTTAAACCTAGCCCTGATCCTAACCCTAGCCCTTACCTCAACTGTACCTAAAGCTTTTGCCGGGGGGGGGGGGGGGGGGGGGGGTGGAGAATGCTCTGTTCCCCAAAACGACATTTTATGTATGCCTATGTGTATGTTTGGTATAAAGGAATCAGATGAAATGGAAGGATATGGTGAAGGCCCTATGTTCCACATGGAGAAAAGTGGATTAAGCCAAGTCAATACATGGGATCTATTTCTGTAAGTGGCAGAGCTTTTTCATCACACCATTTACAGAAGAGTTCTGCTTTCCACTGAATTATCTTTAACAAAGTCAGACAGTCATCCTCGGCTGTGTGACAAACCAAGGGGGACTGGCCAAACAGAGCACGGTAAATCTCACTCAATTTGTAGGATTTCTTACCATTGGATTTCTCGGGATTTGAACCTCTTTTGTCGTTAGATTTGTTTATCACAGTTACAAGACCTTTTTCACATTGTGTTTTTGGGTGAGTTTCAAAGAGTCTTTCAATCTGTCTTTGTTCCCCCTGACCAGCATTGGAATCAGACTTTTCCACATTGGAATCAGACTTTTCCACATTGGAATCAGACTTTTCCACATTGGAATCAGACTTTTCCACATTGGAATCAGACTTTCCCACATTGGAATCAGACTTTTCCACATTGGAATCAGACTTTTCCACATTGGAATAGAAACTATATGTCAATAGACTGGATGTATTTTCTCTTAGGTCATCAGAATATTTGGTTTGGGTGCCTGTATGGTCAGAATATTTGGTTTGGGTGCCTGTAGTTTCAAGATTAAAATAAAGCTCCTCTGCAGATTCTGCAGCAGCAAGCACCGTATGATTATCACTAGAGACAGAGATTCTATCAGCATCATTAGAGACAGAGATTCTATCAGCATCATTAGAGACAGAGATTCTATCAGCATCATTAGAGACAGAGATTCTATCAGCATCATTAGAGACAGAGATTCTATCAGCATCATTAGAGACAGAGATTCTATCAGCATCATTTGAAGTCATGGAACCATTAGACCTAGTTGTTTGCTGTACCTCATTCTTCAAGGTCAGGGCATTGGTAGGGTTGTCATTCTTCAAGGTCAGGGCACTGGTAGGGTTGTATTCTGACAATTTCAGTTCCCTTCCCACCCCTGCCAGGGAAATTGGGGCAACAGAAAATGTGGATGGAGGTGAGGTGTGTTCCTCTACAGTCCAACCTGTGGCCAGTTTTGTTGCTTTGTTTGGTGAAGCTGCACTGAGTAAGTTCTCTTGGTCAACCTGTCCAGCTGCGCAAGTGGAAGATGCTGGACATCTTTTTTTCCAGGGATCAGGTACAAGTCCATCAAATGCTCTCAAGGCTTCTAGGCTGTCAACACATAAAATATCCCTGGGGATTTCCTTCTTGGCTGAGTTCAGCTCTGAGACCAGCAGAGGGTAATCAAACCTGATGGTAACAAGGCAACTCATGCAGGTTTTTTGTTGGCCACTTTCTTAGTTACACACACACAAACTCATCAGCCACATACACACACAAACTCATCAGCCACACACACACAAACTCATCAGCCACACACACACACAAACTCATCAGCCACACACACACACAAACTCATCAGCCACACACACACACAAACTCATCAGCCACACACACACAAACTCATCAGCCACATACACACACAAACTCATCAGCCACACACACACAAACTCATCAGCCACACACACACACAAACTCATCAGCCACACACACACACACAAACTCATCAGCCACACACACACACAAACTCATCAGCCACACACACACACAAACTCATCAGCCACACACACACAAACTCATCAGCCACACACACACACACAAACTCATCAGCCACACACACACACAAACTCATCAGCCACACACACACAAACTCATCAGCCACACACACACAAACTCATCAGCCACACACACACAAACTCATCAGCCACACACACACACAAACTCATCAGCCACACACACACACAAACTCATCAGCCACACACACACAAACTCATCAGCCACACACACACAAACTCATCAGCCACACACACACAAACTCATCACCCACATACACACACAAACTCATCAGCCACACACACACAAACTCATCAGCCACACACACACACAAACTCATCAGCCACACACACACACACACAAACTCATCAGCCACACACACACACAAACTCATCAGCCACACACACACAAACTCATCAGCCACACACACACAAACTCATCAGCCACACACACACACAAATTCATCAGTCACACACACACACAAACTCATCAGTCACACACACACAAGCTCATCAGCCACACACACACAAACTCATCAGTCACACACACACACAAACTCATCAGCCACATACACACACAAACTCATCAGCCACACACACACACAAACTCATCAGCCACACACACACACACAAACTCATCAGCCACACACACACACACTCATCAGCCACACACACACAAACTCATCAGCCACACACACACACACACAAACTCATCAGCCACACACACACAAACTCTTCAGCCACACACACACACACAAACTCATCAGCCACACACACCAACTCATCAGTCACACACACACAAACTCATCAGCCACACACACACAAACGCATCAGCCACACACACACACACTCATCAGCCACACACACACAAACTCATTAGCCACACACACACAAACTCATCAGCCACACACACCAAACTCATCACCAGCTCTTTAGCCACTCACCCATTTCCATTGTGTGCAACAAGACAGACAGGCTGTGGCAGGTTTTGGAGAAAAATACTGATCAAGTTTGTTTGACAGGCAAAGCTTCTCTGGCTTTCAAGTGCATCATTGTACAGTCCTACAAAATTAAAATGTTAAATTATAAACCTAACCCTAGTGCATCATTGTACAGTCCTACAAAATTAAAATGTTAAATTATAAACCTAACCCTAGTGCATCATTGTACAGTCCTACAAAATTAAAATGTTAAATTATAAACCTAACCCTAGTGCATCATTGTACAGTCCTACAAAATTAAAATGTTAAATTATAAACCTAACCTAATGCATCATTGTACAGTCCTAAAAAATTAAAATGTTAAATTATAAACCTAACCCTAAACCCTAGTGCATCATTGTACAGTCCTACAAAATTAAAATGTTAAATTATAAACCTAACCCTAGTGCATCATTGTACAGTCCTACAAAATTAAAATGTTAAATTATAAACCTAACCCTAGTGCATCATTGTACAGTCCTACAAAATTAAAATGTTAAATTATAAACCTAACCCTAGTGCATCATTGTACAGTCCTACCAATTAAACTCACACTGAAGAAAAAAAATGTTGTGGAAATTATGTTCCTTTGTGGGTTTTGTTTTTTTTTTGTCTTGTACGCATGACTACACCTTTCATCCAGTGTCCATGAAACTTTGTGAAAGTGTTGAGAATACTCCTGGCAAGGTTTCTGTAAAAAAAATTATTTTGGTAGGGTGACCTAGGCTGTCAGCACTATGGCCACCACATTTGTTTCGTGACACAATATGGCTACCATGGGTTTGATTAATTGCACTAAATCTATTCAGGCCTGTCTGCAAGCACCCCAGCAAGGTGCAATTTGACGTCCCTGGCTCCGCGTGAGCACTATGACGCCTGTTTGTTTTAAAGAATGGGATACAATATAGACACGGTGGGCTACTATAATCATTGACTAAATCTAATCAGGTGGATCCTCTGGTGCCCCTGCATTCAGGTGACCTCAATGCAGCAACCCAGGCTCTCCTGTGAGCACTAAGCACCTACATCTGTTTTAAAGAGCACCCTACAATAGGGACACAGTGGTAAACAACATTTGATGATTTAATTGAACCAGGGGCCTAACCCTGCGCAAGGTGTCTACCAAGAGTGCCCAGCGACGCCCCTGACACAAGTTCAGGTATAAGGTGTGTTCTGTCTCACTATTACAGAAGGTGACTAACGTACACTAAAGAATTTCATAAGGCATGCTGGGGCATCTGGGCAGTAGCGTGGACAAACCTGCGCCATAACGGCTAAGATAAAGAAATACAGCACTGACAAAGCTTACATATAAATAATTCACTTTAAGAAGACAAGGTTATGTGTCTAAAATTACACAATTGTCTTACAATATTGCATCAGTCTGCATCAAGAGGCAGGATGAGTGCACTAGTATATTACATGGGTATGCTAGTATACTATATGGGTACGCTAGTATACTATATGGGTACGCTAGTATACTATATGGGTACGTTAGTATACTACATGGGTACGCTAGTATACTATATGGGTACGTTAGTATACTACATGGGTACGCTAGTATATTACAGGGGTATGCTAGTATACTATATGAGTATGCTAGTATACTATATGGGTACGCTAGTATACTATATGGGTACGCTAGTATACTATATGGGTACGTTAGTATACTACATGGGTACGCTAGTATATTACAGGGGTATGCTAGTATACTATATGGGTATGCTAGTATACTATATGGGTACGCTAGTATACTACTTGGGTACGCTAGTATACTATATGGGTATGCTAGTATACTATATGGGTACACTAGTATATTATATGGATACGCTAGTATATTATATGGATACGCTAGCATATTATATGGATACGCTAGTATATTATATGGGTTCGCTCGTACATTATATGGGTTTGCTCGTATATTATACAGCATGGTGTGGGTGTGACTTCCAGTGGAGTCTGGGTTGGTCTTGGTGTTTTGAAAAAAATCATTTTTCAAGAAAACACATTGAGGGTAAAGGTTCTAAGAATATGATGGTTTATGAGTATATGATATATTCTGAAAGTATTTGAGAAAGAGGGAAACAGAGTAAAGTTCCACTTTTGGTTACCCGAAAATTACTTAAAAGTTGATGGAAATCAACATATAGGTTCTAATACTTGTACATGAAATTTTGTCCATCTGACTGAAATGGTACAACAGCTATCGTGTTCTCACACACACACACACACACACATAAAGAAAAGATTGCAAAAAAACAACTAGTTGATTCTATCCAGACAAAGATATACCCAGACATGCCTACCCCTGTCAGCCATGTCTGTATACCCAGACATGCCTACCCCTGTCAGCCATGTCTGTATACCCAGACATGCCTACCCCTGTCAGCCATGTCTGTATACCCAGACATGCCTACCCCTGTCAGCCATGTCTGTATACCCAGACATGCCTACCCCTGTCAGCCATGTCTGTATACCCAGACATGCCTACCCCTGTCAGCCATGTCTGTATACCCAGACATGCCTACCCCTGTCAGCCATGTCTGTATACCCCAGCTACTGACCTGATAGCTTGGAAGCTTTATGGCAAATATTTTTTCTAGGGTTGAAACACAGAATAAGTTTGTTCAAGACACGTGCTGCTGAGGTCTTGGTCAGAAGTTCCTCTCTTGAGATGGCTATAAAACACAGCTCAGTGATCTTGGTCTGGTTCCCTGGACTGGGTAGGCCAGTGGTTTCAGTGTCAAAAACCACCAAAGTTTGGATAGCTCTAGCCTGCATTTGGTTCAATAGGGCTGCAATACACAGCAGGACTGGTGGCCTGATCAATCAAACAGAGAGAATCAGTCAATAGAGTTCCATGTTATAAGAGAATATCATTTCAGCAGAACAAACAGCATTACAATAGTACTGATATGAAACAGGACAAACAGCATTACAATAGTACTAATATGAAACAGGACAAACAGCATTACAGTAGTACTGATATGAAACAGGACAAACAGCATAAAACAATAGTACTAATATGAAACAGGACAAACAGCATTACAATAGTACTAATATGAAACAGGACAAACAGCATTACAATAGTACTGATATGAAACAGGACAAACAGCATTACAGTAGTACTGATATGAAACAGGACAAACAGCATTACAATAGTACTGATATGAAACAGGACAAACAGCATTACAATAGTACTGATATGAAACAGGACAAACAGCATTACAATAGTACTGATGTGAAGACATTGAGAAATAAAACAACCACAAAAACTTTGGTCAAAAACCAATAAAAAGTTAAAAAATGAAATTTTGAATAGCAAAGTTTAGTTTTCATTTCCTGCAGAGAACACCTAATTGACAGACCCCATGTGTTCTAACAGCCCATTAGTACAGTGGGCCTTAGTACTGACAGACCCCATGTGTTCTAACAGCCCATTAGTACAGTGGGCCTTAGTACTGACAGACCCCATGTGTTCTAACAGCCCATTAGTACAGTGGGCCTTAGTACTGACAGACCCCATGTGTTCTAACAGCCCACTAGTACAGTGGGCCTTAGTACTGACAGACCCCATGTGTTCTAACAGCCCATTAGTACAGTGGGCCTTAGTACTGACAGACCCCATGTGTTCTAACTCTAACAGCCCATTAGTACAGTGGGCCTTAGTACTGACAGACCCCATGTGTTCTAACAGCCCACTAGTACAGTGGGCCTTAGTACTGACAGACCCCATGTGTTCTAACTCTAACAGCCCATTAGTACAGTGGGCCTTAGTACTGACAGACCCCATGTGTTCTAACAGCCCATTAGTACAGTGGGCCTTAGTACTGACAGGCCCCATGTGCTCTAACTCTAACAGCCCATTAGTACAGTGGGCCATAGTACTGACAGACCCCATGTGTTCTAACAGCCCATTAGTACAGTGGGCCTTAGTACTGACAGACCCCATGTGTTCTAACAGCCCATTAGTACAGTGGGCCTTAGTACTGACGGGGGAGCCCAGATATCACTAGGTCACATGACTGTTGGGTGCTGGCACCTCTTGCAGTAGGACATCCAGTCAACAGACCTTTCTTAGGTACTAAAATAACCTCTGGGAAATTCCGGGTGCCAAACTGCACCCTACAACCAGGGTGCCAAACTGCACCCTACAACCAGGGTGCCAAACTGCACCCTACAACCAGGGTGCCAAACTGCACCCTACAACCAGGGTGCCAAACTGCACCCTACAACCAGGGTGCCAAACTGCACCCTACAACCAGGGTGCCAAACTGCACCCTACAACCAGGGTGCCAAACTACACCTTACAACCAGGGTGCCAAACTGCACCCTACAACTAGGGTGCCAAACTGCACCTTACAACTAGGGTGCCAAACTACACCTTACAACCAGGGTGCCAAACTGTGTGTTTATTAATCATCATAAACCCGGCATTGCCCACCCAAACCACAACCAACCAAAACCAAAACAACAAAACGCAAACATAACGCTAACACAATTACAAATACAAACGAAAACAAAAACATAAAACAAACCCAACCACAAACACAAACAAAAAACAAACAAAAAAGCAAACGAAAACAAAAACCTAACAACAAACACGACTCCAAATACCAATACGAACACAAAGAGAAAAAAATGAAAAAGCAAACGAAAACAAACCAAATCCAAACGCAAAACCAACCACAAACACAAACCCAAAGAAAAAAACACAAACGAAAAAGCAAACGAAAACAAACCAAATCCAAACACAAAACTAATCACAAACACAAATGCAAACACAAACCCAAAGAAAAAAAACACAAATGAAAACGAAAAAAGAAACAACAAAAATGAACCAATTCAAAACGCAACCACTAACGAAAACCCAACCTAAACACAAAGAAAACACAAACGCAAACATAAACGCAAAGTGCTCACAGTCTAGCCCGGGGCGGAATCGACTGTTTCAGCTTAATAAACGACTATAGTACCAACTTATTCATAGTCTTTTGCACTCACTTAAACGAACGTAGGCATCAAACCGAACACGGGAGGCCCGGGGCCCCAAATAGCACCCTGTCTGGGGGCCAGAGGACGCCCGGATTCGATTCACTTAAAGACTATAGTAACCTTTCTTATCCATACTCTATCGCACTGTTTAAAGCGAAATTATGCACCATAGAGCTCACAGGATAGCCCAGAGCGCCAAACTGAACCCTGGTGGGGCGCCGGCGGACGCGCCTGTTTCAATTTAATGAACAATTATAATACTCCAAGCTTAACCGTAAAATACCTACAACATTTGCACTTGATCAATCCCCGCTAATTATGTAATTATTTTTTTCCCAACACCAAAACAAAGTAAAAAAAGTAAATTCTTTTCCACTAATGCAATGTTTTGTAAAGGGAAGTAATTGTGTTTTCCTAATTTATCAATGGGAAGTAAGTGCTAAAGGACTAAATATAAATAATTTTCAGACATAATTAGAATTTTTGTAAAAAATGATCATTTTAAAAAATTGTGTTTAATGAACATGCCGACAATTATTACTATCAGTTTGAAAAATGAAAATTATTTCCCAACACTTTCAATAGTAATTTTTTAACTCATAAATTTAGACTATGAGCACGATAATAATCTAACACTTAAATCCATCGAAGTATGTCAACGACAAACTTATTACATGTTACATACAGAATTGAGCTTTATATATTTATATATATATATATATATATATATATATATATATATATATATAATATGTACACATTTGAGCACTGTATTTGTATCAAATTGCCCATTTATTTTGTAAAGGTGAAGTAGAATCAGTGTTTAAACCATTTTGTGATCAGTGCACTTAGGTGACAAAATATTTTGTTGATTTTCTTTTGATGCTAGCAGAGTGCCCATGCAGGTGGCAGTAGCCAGAGGCGTAGCGACCCCTACCGGGGCGAACTTTCAGTTTGGCGCCCCCATATATATATATATATATATATATATATATATATATATATATATATACATATATATGCGTGTGTGTTTGTGTGTGCGACAGTCTGGGAAAAAATTAACAATGACGCTGGTTGTCGTGCCCTAAAACTTCGCTGGACGCCAATTAAATTCTCCTTAAGATGCCGAAACGAATAAAAAGTAGAAAACAGTGGGCTCCATCGAACCCGAGAAGTTTGGTATTTCAGTCTCAGGGCTTCCGCGGAGGTCAAGACACACCCGACTCATAGGATTCACGATCGGATTTTGTCATTGTGGACGATACAACTATTAAGGAGAGTTTGGTGATTGCGCATATGAAACTGGTTGGGTTCGGTACTCCAAAAAGTTAAGATCCACTGCTTTAGAGTGTATTTTGTAGAAGATGCAAGCCTTATTTGGTCTACTTTTGGTCGTGTCTTTAGAACAATATCGATAATAGTAGGCCAATATTGCAATTTTGAATTATCAGTTAGGTTGAACAAAGTAATAATCAGTACAATATACTAATTTTCTTCTCTCTTAAAATTTTGGCAAAGAGTGTTGCTTCCCATCCACTCGCTCCGACAGTCTGCTCTTTTTTTTACTTTCTTGTATATATGAAGTATAGAGAAAGTCTTGTAATCGTGCAAAACAAAAATCGAGATTTTTACAAATCTCGACGTTTTACACCTCACTTATACGGAAAAACATAATTTTGCAATCTTGTTATGTTACACAATCATAAAATACGCTTTAGTTCAATGGGTTTCTTTTCTAGGTGATATCGGTTTAATCCTTAATCCGGTGTGAATTTTTTAGATTTTAGTCTTCGAAAAAGCGCCCCCCCTCCCCATCTAGTAAAGCTGAAAAGCGGTTTTTCTGGTCACTGTTTCTTAAAGATATACAAGGTAGAAAACAGTTAAATCAGTATGCAAAGGCTCTCGGCCATTAAATTTCTTTACTTTGACTGTTTATAATTCAAAATTGCAGCTTAAAATGAGCTTATAATTTTTTTTCTACCCCTTTTGGCGCCCCCCCTAGGGTTGGCGCTCGGGGCGGCCGCCCTCCCCTAGCTACGCCTCTGGCAGTAGCACATCCCTAGTGCATTGGTTTGATATTCCTTCAGCACACCCTATTTATAGTTTTTGATTGGGAAACAAATTTTCATAACAAAACCCGTGATCCACTTATCTGAATCAGAGTCATAATATTTATGCTGCACTTTCTTTCTTGAGCAAACCTCCTACGAGTAATAAATTATTAAACCAAATGTAAAAACAACAGCAATGATTTAGCTTTGTTCACTTTCTGGGTGGGAACATTAATGATTAAAACTACAAAACAAAAATTAGAAATGACTGCTTAGTTTCCTGAGTGAGTTATCCAAATTTTTAAACTAACTCAACACCCCCTTTCGGCCTTTGAAAAGTTTCTATTTATTATTTATTTATATATTCATATTAATAATAGGCCTAATATTATAATTATTAGCCATATATTTATTATTTTTATTAGGCCCTAATTTATACTAGATTCTCTAGTCTAGATCTAGATCTAATTAATTATTTATTTATTATCGAACACCGGTATAGACAGTCATCCAATCCACCACTGGGTGAGATCTAATGGAATCTTGACTAGAATCTAGATTAATTAGCGTACTTTTAATATAAATAAATAAATTCATATAGATCTAGATCTATATTAATATTATAATTACTATATTATATTTTTATTGTGGATGATAGTGTGACACACCTCCGTGACCTAGATTTCTAGATCTAGATCTATTTTAAAAACGGAAGTGTCTGGAAATTTAAAAAATGATAGGTTTAAACAAACTTAGTGTAAGAAAATTATTCTCTAATTTAAAGAAAAGAATAGATTTCTCTAGATCTAGTTGCATTTGTTTAATAAAAAATACATGTTTAAAATTAAAATAAAATTCTAAATTCAGAAAACAGCGATTTTTTAGCAATGAAATATGTATGCGAGGTTCTTCGCGGCGCTTGACACGATTCGTGTAAAAAATTTAATATTTATTTAGGCCTAGAAAGTAGAAGCCATTTTGTTGTTTTGATGTTTGATGTCTGTCAAGATACATTTGAGTCTTTTGGGAATTTAGATCTACTTCTCCATTTTCTTATCAGAAGTTTATGCAAAAAGGAGATTCTAGGTTTTTAAAATATGTGACGATATATTTTTATCGCTTTATATATGTAACACCAGAAAGGACCAGTTACTGTGAAGGACGCATGCAGGGTAGCAAGGTCATGGCCGGAAACCCCTGTAATAACCCATCTGTTTTGATGATTCGCCTCACAAATCTTCATTTCAAGGATGGCAGACTGTATACTGTCCGTTACTTGAATGTTAAGTAAGTCCCATATGCAAAATGCTTCTTTCATCCCATATTCCTATAGTTTATATCGCTTGAAAGCAACGGGTGTAGTTAAAAATAAAATGGGGAGGAGCAACACACTCGCTAATGGAAATTATTTGACGAAAGAAAGTTAGTTAGGCTACTGCTTCCTATTTCTAGTCGTAGTTATGTATTGTAGTAAATGAAAGGGTGGCCTTCACACCATGAACTTTGGCCGTGGTAGTCTATTCTTCACTTTTCCCGAAAGTAATTTAGGCCTAGACTAATTAAAACCTTAAAGAGTAGGGTCACCAAGTCAATACAATTACTAATAAATAGATTTTTTTTTATAGATTCTAGAATCTAAAATAAATACAACTAGATCTAACTATGACTCAACCCACTAGAACTAGATCTAGATAGATATCTAGATCTAGCTAGATCTAGAATCTAGATTCTATTATAATTGTTTAAATCAGTTTATCAATAGTATAGGCCTAATCATTATCATAAAATATCATAGATCTATTTCTAGATTGTAGATCTACTTCTTCAATTATTTACTCTACTAGATTTAGATCTAGATTCTAGATCTATTAATTATTATAATTAGGCCTATACAGTATAAGCCTATAGCCTATAGGCATAGGCCTACTATTAAATTAAAATTATCCATATCTTGCTCTAGGCCTAGACTATATTCTATATTTTATAGGCCTAGGCCTATAGTAACATTTTATAGTTATAAATTATAATAAATAATGGCCAAGGCTATTCCCCAATACGGCTATTCACAGCAGTCGGCTGTCATTTCATGCTAAATAAATAGTAAATACGACTGTGAATAATATCTTAAAATAATAAAAGCATTTATTGTGACTGGGGAATGAGTTATAGATTAAGAGAGCAGTGCTATTTTTATTTTGTTATAAAAAAGTTATTACAATTAAAGTTTAGTTTAGCTTTTAGGCTCATATCAGACATATCTGCTACAGGCATATAGGTCATAGATGATCAATTATGCACTAGAATAATAGATCTAGTAATTTTTAAATAAATAATACTAATTAAGCATCAGTTTGGTAAAGTTTAGTTGGTTGTGCACATTGCTATTCACTTATCAGTTACCATTGAAAATTCGCATTATCATATAGAATAAATATCAGGTGAAATAGGATGTCCTTTTGTGTTTTTTCTCTTTTTTTTTTTTTTTTTTTTTTTTTGATGATATGCCAACAATTACGTCACAAAAAAAATCACACAAAAAAATTAACAAAAGTAACCCTTCGATGAGTAACTTAAGTAACTGAAAAAATATTTTGATATTACGATTGAGAGGCATACATCAAGAGTCATAGCATAGGGCATCTGATGGATTAGAACCCACACCTTCTAGCACGGCAGCCACTTCCAATGACCGCTCGACCACACATTTTCATGCATAGTTAGGTATTTTTAACATTAAATCTATCAAAAACGGTCACTTGAATACGACTGTGAATAGCCCCAATACGGCTATTCACAGTCGGCTGTGAATAGACACTTCGATAAATAATATAGTTATAATATTTAGGCTAATACTAATAGGCTATATTATATTACATTATTAGGTAATCTATCGTTTTAGGTAGGTAAAATCGCCCGCGACATGTAATGTGAAAAACAGGTGACTCCTTAAATTTTAATAATTATTTCACATTTGTATTTTAAAATACAAAAATGTTTCATTTATGTACCTGTTTTTAAACAATTGAATTAAAACTTTTCAGTAATAAATGATGACTAGCGATGTTTCAAACAGATGCAACCATGCTCATTTACTATAGCAGCCATATTGTTTAAGTTTTATTTTTATAAAGTTTTAGCGCGAGATTCAGGGGGAAGCCACTCTATTTTACAAATGGCTGCTGTTTATATAGATTCTAGTAAATCTTGCTCGCAGACACTGCTGTTTAAAGTTAATTTCTGGCCTATATTGATATATTTAGCCATTGATTTAGGTTTATTATTCATTTATGTATAAGATTTGACACAAACATATCACAATATACTTCTATAACTTCTATTAAAGCCTTAACAATGTTGTAACGTTTTCGTACATTAATAGCCGCTGGCGATTTTACGTACCCAAAACGATAATTGCCCATTATTATTTAGTAGGCCTCTATCTCTATAAGTATAATAGCCTAATTAAGTAATCTATATAGTATATATACAGTACTATACCATATACCAGAGGCGTTAGCGAAGGGGGGTGCTGACCGCACCGGGTGACACCATTTAGGGGAGTGACACCAAGGCAAAAAATAGCAAAATATATAGAGAAAAATTTGAGGGGGGTGCAAATCGAAAATTGAAAGTTTGTCCCCGGGAAGGGTTGCTACGCCTCTGGGGCATGACACCATTAAGTGCCGCACTGGGTGACACCCGACCTCGCTACGCCACTGCCATGGCATATACTCATATATGCCTAGGCCTAACAATTATAATTCTACATTCTCTAGATTATTTTAATAGTATTAGGCCTAAGTTTTATAGACTAGGATAGTTGATCTAGAATCTAAAAAAAATAATAATTAAGAATCTAGATTTAGCCTAATTTAGAATAAATTTAGATCTAGATATTAATACCTAATTATTATTTTATTTCTAGATCTAGGCCTTAGACTAGGACTGACTAGGTATTATCAGATAAAATAAATATTTTAGATTATGCCTGCCAAAAAGCTTACTTACTAGAATCTACTACTAGACTACTTACTAAGCTACTTAGTAAGTATGAATGAAAATGAATGATTATTTAGGCCTAAGTAATACTAAAGCCTAACTTATTATTCATTTTTTTTTTAGAAATAGGGTTTACCAGTACTGTGCTGTAGAAACTAATAAAAATGTAGATCTAGACTGGTTCTAGGCCTTAATTTTGATAATTTAAGCGATTTATTATAGTAAAGCCTTAGCCTTAGGCCTACAATTTCTATTTATTAATTAAATCAATGTAGACTATTTATTAAGTCTAACTAATAAATTACTTATAATTTGATAGATATTTTGAGTCTGCCCTTTGTATCCCTATCAGAACATCCCATGACCTCAACCAATCAGCAGGCTTGTTGCACTGAGTTAAATATAAACTCAAAAAAATAATATAAACAATCTCATTTAAATAGGTCAGGCCACACACCACAACTAAAACCTCGTAATGTTGTGTGAAGTGCCTTTGACAATACTTAAACAAAAAGTGTTTCGAAATTTTTGAAAATTCTAGTGTTGTACATGAGAATGTATGTAATTTTGAAGTACTAGATCTAGTATTGTTTATGAGAAAGAATCAAATCAAACTGGTTTTGACAGAACCATTATAATGCTTTGCCATTAGCTCTATGTTTGGACATCCATCTGCTATATTGACTCTTATTTCTTTCAGAACTATTGAAAAAATCTACAAGTAGTATTTTATTACAAGACTATTTACATTGATTAATACTAAAGAGCATTTAAAATGTGCAAGCCATCACCAGTGGCTGATGAGATAGCTATCATTGTGGGGTAGGGGGGAGGAGGAGAAAGTCATTACACCCAGAACATCCATCTGCCCATACCAGATAGTGGGAGCATAGTTCCAAACTAAAAGATTTTAAATCAGCCACTAGGTTGATCAGGCTGCACAAATGATGACATGACCTCCAACCACTCATACACAGCTATCTTTATTTGTACCTTGCATCAAACTCCTTTGTTGTCCATTTAAAAACTGAGTATGATGTGATTTGTACATTGATTAGAAACTTTGCTAGCTTCATTATCTAACACAAGTACACATTTCCACATGGCAAGACAGAAAAAGCCCCCCCCCCCCTCTTAAGCAGACACAGCTTGAAGATATTTTGATTGTCTCCTCAGCCATGGCTTCCAGAAGTGAACTGGGCATATCCCCAGTACTTCTGCAAGCTATCGCACAGACCCTTTCATCCCACACAGTCCAACGAGGATCTTCCAGTGCTGGTAACTCCCCCACACGTGGGAACCAACTTGGGATGGAAGCCATGTCACATCACTCAGCAACTAGTGGCTTGGTCTCTCATCTACTGCAAAACTTGAATGAACCTGTCGCCTCTCTGATGGCTGGGGCCAGATCTCCAAACTTGTCCAGTGATAAAAGTTGTGTGCTGGCCCAGGCTGGACTCTCCATGTTGGGCTTATCTGACAATGAAATGGGCTCACCTTTAAGTGAAAGCCCCCTTACCAGCACTGCCAGTAAAAACAGCCAATCCAGATCCATGGTTATATCCAGCGAGGATCTGAACAATTTCCTGGTTAAAGAAGAGCAATCGGATGATGGTGAGCAGACTGGCAACCAGACTATCACCACTGTCAGCAGCATGCTCAGCGCACTAGCTTCTCAACACATTCAAGAATCTCTCACACGAAAAGGCAGGCCAGGCCATCAGGCTGACATTGACACCGCACTCAATGGTGTCACAACAACCAATGGGGATTCACGCTCCCAACCCCAGATTATCATCTACAGCTACATAAACAACACAAACCAGGATGTGCCATCACCTCAGGGCAATGACATTGTTCTCAATGATGGGGATGCTGACTCTCAGACCACATACAGAGTACTGCTCCAGCCTGATGATGGGGCTGACACCAAACAAATGTTTTCATCTGAACTCACCTTTTCTTCTGCTTCAAATGTTCTTCCTGTGACAGATGCTCAAAACACTCAGGATGGAATGAGTCAGCCTTGTCCGGTCTGTGGAGACAAAGTTTCAGGTTAGACTCTTCGTTTCTTTGTCCATCAGCTCCTCGCTTTGTTAAAATCTGTCAATGCCATACCTAGTTCCTCCCCCCTCCGCCAAGAACCTCCCAAATAATGCTAAGCCCAGTTTACCAGCCTGCCCCCCCCCCCCTTCACATCACCAAGAACCCCACCCACTCATCCAGCATCTCCAAAACCACATTCCTTTTATGTACTATTTTTTAAATTAAAAATACTAAAGTAATTACTTTATGCTCCTTTGACACACCCCTCCACCTCTAAAAGCTTCTGCTGCTGACCCCAACACCACATGTATATACATACATGTATTTTCATTTAGTATTTCTTATTGTTAAAATTGACTCTTCTTGTTTGTGAATGTAACAGAATTGATGTCAGGATGCAGAATTGAGTAGCCATACCACTGAAAATTATACCACAACTATTGGTAGTCTAAAGATTATCTTTTACAGAAAACTACACACCCCCTGCACCTTAAATTCTCCCCCCACCCCCTTCCATTTACATTATTTAATGGTGAGTGAAGTAGCAATATATCCTTTTGGGTGTCCGGTCATAAACCCCCTGGACAAGAACCCCCGTGATATAAACCCCCTGGACAAGAACCCCCATGATATAAACCCCCTGGACAAGAACCCCCGTGATATAAACCCCCTGGACAAGAACCCCCGTGATATAAACCCCCTGGACAAGAACCCCCGTGATATAAACCCCCTGGACAAGAACCCCCGTGATATAAACCCCCTGGACAAGAACCCCCTGGACAAGAACCCCCATGATATAAACCCCCTGGACAAGAACCCCCGTGATATAAACCCCCTGGACAAGAACCCCCTGGACAAGAACCCCCGTGATATAAACCCCCTGGACAAGAACCCCCATGATATAAACCCCCTGGACAAGAACCCCCTGGACAAGAACCCCCGTGATATAAACCCCCTGGACAAGAACCCCCGTGATATAAACCCCCTGGACAAGAACCCCCGTGATATAAACCCCCTGGACAAGAACCCCCATGATATAAACCCCCTGGACAAGAACCCCCGTGATATAAACCCCCTGGACAAGAACCCCCGTGATATAAACCCCCTGGACAAGAACCCCCTGGACAAGAACCCCCATGATATAAACCCCCTGGACAAGAACCCCCGTGATATAAACCCCCTGGACAAGAACCCCCGTGATATAAACCCCCTGGACAAGAACCCCCTGGACAAGAACCCCCGTGATATAAACCCCCTGGACAAGAACCCCCGTGATATAAACCCCCTGGACAAGAACCCCCTGGACAAGAACCCCCGTGATATAAACCCCCTGGACAAGAACCCCCGTGATATAAACCCCCTGGACAAGAACCCCCTGGACAAGAACCCCCGTGATATAAACCCCCTGGACAAGAACCCCCTGGACAAGAACCCCAGTGATATAAACCCCTGGGCAAATACCCCCCAATTGAGGTTTATATAAGGAAAAACCAAAGATGATGAGAATCAAAATTAATAATTAAATACAAAACAAACATTAGAAAAAAAAATGTTTTATTATTACTTTAAAAAGAGATTGTAAACGATGCCTCGCAAATACTCTATAATGATGGGCTCATTAAAATTTTTAACAACAGTTGAAATTCAAGCGCTGCTATCAATATATTTTTTTTTCTGTTTTGGTAAACAGTGTACAATAAACCTCTTGAAGCAATTGTTCCTTTTTAATAAAGTCAGTGAATTTCCAAATATTTGGGTGGCAACATCCCATATTCGACTGGAAATTTCTGAACCAGCCTTCAAATATTGTTTGTTTTTGGCATATTGTCTTTTGCATGTGTATGCATGTTCCACACATCAACTGGAAACATAGGTTGTCTCCAACCTCGATGTTGTGGTCTGCCAATATAGTAGTCCTCGAAATAGTCTGCAATTGGCATTGCTTCTTGGGGGAAAATTTCCGATAATTTATCAAAGGCATACATTTGTTTAAAAGAGCACCCTACGATAGGGACACGATGGCACATGACATTTGATGGTTAAACTGACCAATGTAGAAAATAGCTTGTTGATCATTTGGTATAGTTTGTCATGTTAGAGATAGATAGATAGATAGATAGATAGATAGATAGATAGATAGATAGATAGATAGATAGATAGATAGATAGATAGATAGATAGATAGATAGATAGATAGATAGATAGATAGATAGATAGATAGATAGATAGATAGATAGATAGATAGATAGATAGATATGTATAGAAAGATAGATAGATAGATATGTAAAGATAGATAGATAGATATGTATAGAAAGATAGATAGATAGATATGTATAGAAAGATAAATAGATAGATATGTATAGATAGATAAAAAGATATATATGTATAGATAGATATATAAATATCTATATATATCCATATATAGATATCTATATATATCCATATATAGATATCTATATATATCCATATATAGATATCTATATATATATCCATATATAGATATCTATATATATCCATATATATTTATCTATATATATGACGGTTTGCCTTTTATGCATAGCTACATCTTTCATTTGATCAGCATGGAACTTTAGGAAATTGTTGAGAATACTCCTGGGAAGGTTTCTGCTGGGGGAAAAAATGTAATTTTGGAGAGCTGTCTTAGTATAATAGGGTACTATATGATTCATCTTCTGCACATCTGCCAGTGCTGACCCAGAGCAACCCAGGCTCCCAGATAAGCACTATGGTGCCTACAGCTGACCTTATTTGGACAGTGTGAGCAACCCAGGCTCCCAGATAAACACTATGGTGCCTACAGCTGACCTTATTTGGACAGTGTGCTACTGAAATCAATGACTAAATTCAACAAAGGGTGTCCTGCACTCAGTCAGCACCTTGGGCTCCTTACTTTTCCTAGCTGAAATCTTTTAATACTTGATTGTAAGGGGATCTATTCCAACATTACAATTAGGATACAGCATGCCCTGTTTTAAGGTGTTAGTGTGGCATTACATACCACAACAACTAAGAAACAAGAAATATAGCGTCTGCTTTGTTAACTTTTTAAAAACAAGGCCAGACATCTGAAAATACACAAGTAGTAACTTTTGTTAAATCTAATTTTTTTTTTAACAGGCTTTTATCAAATCTAATTGTTTTTTTAAACAGGCTACCATTATGGCATATTCACATGTGAAAGTTGTAAAGGTTTCTTTAAAAGAACTGTACAGAATAAAAAAAACTTTGTGTGTCCTAAAGCCTCTGATTGTTCCATTAACTCGTACAACAGGAAGAAATGCCCAGCATGTCGCTTCAAAAGGTGTTTGATGATGGGCATGAAACTTGAAGGTTTGAACTTTTCCTGCTTGATCATTCTTTCAATCTCCACCTTTTTCACTCCATTCAATAGCACTTTAATACTAGGAAATAAGGTACCTGTTTATTTCCACATCATGGATTGGATTAGAGTTCCATAGCTTTCCTTTTAAATGTTTTTAGTGAAATAAAAAGAAAATGGCAGAAATAATTAGGGTTTCTGTCAAATGACTTGGATAATTAGGGTTTTTGTCAAATGACTGAGATAATTAGGGTTTTTGTCAAATGACTGAGATAATTAGGGTTTCTGTCAAATGACTGATATGAGTGAGTGGATTAAGCTAATGTCTAACATTACTTAGCCATCAGACAAGATCGCACGCGTGGAGGTAGGAGCTCTTATGATGGATGTGCATCCCATCTGAAGAATCGAGTAACACCTCTAGAAAAGAAGTTAAAAAAGGTTTCAACCAGGTTCCCCCTTCCTGGTGAGATCCCAGGTCCCTCTCATGATGCTGACGATGGATCTAACTCACATCGAAATTTAGTGGCCATTTTAAATCACAACGCTCATAAACAGGTAGTTGTTCATTTTTTTTTTTTATAATTTTTTTTTTTACTTTGCTTTAACTGCACAATTTTGTTGTGTTACAAAGTGCAAATGAAATATTTGACAGGTTTTTTTTCCCCCAATGTTGGCTGTTTGTGCTGGTGTGTGTCATAGACTGTTACTTGATGCAGTTACAATTAGCGCTACACACATAAGCTTAACCCTAGGGCTACACACATAAGCCTAACCCTAGGGCTACACACATAAGCCTAACCCTAGCGCTACACACATAAACTTAGCCCTAGGGCTACACACATAAGCTTAACCCTAGGGCTACACACATAAGCCTAACCCTAGGGCTACACACATAAGCCTAACCCTAGGGCTACACACATAAGCCTAACCCTAGGGCTACACACATAAGCCTAACCCTAGCGCTACACACATAAACTTAGCCCTAGGGCTACACACATAAGCCTAACCCTAGGGCTACACACATAAGCCTAACCCTAGGGCTACACACATAAGCCTAACCCTAGGGCTACACACATAAACTTAACCCTAGGGCTACACACATAAGCCTAACCCTAGGGCTACACACATAAGCCTAACCCTAGGGCTACACAGATAAGCCTAACCCTAGGGCTACACACATAAGCCTAACCCTAGGGCTACACACATAAGCCTAACCCTAGGGCTACACACATAAGCCTAACCCTAGGGCTACACACATAAGCCTAACCCTAGGGCTACACACATAAGCCTAACCCTAGGGCTACACACATAAGCCTAACCCTAGGGCTACACACATAAGCCTAACCCTAGGGCTACACACATAAGCCTAACCCTAGGGCTACACACATAAGCCTAACCCTAGGGCTACACACATAAGCCTAACCCTAGGGCTACACACATAAGCTTAACCCTAGGGCTACACACATAAACTTAACCCTAGGGCTACACACATAAGCCTAACCCTAGGGCTACACACATAAACTTAACCCTAGGGCTACACACATAAGCCTAACCCTAGGGCTACACACATAAGCCTAACCCTAGGGCTACACACATAAGCCTAACCCTAGGGCTACACACATAAGCCTAACCCTAGGGCTACACACATAAGCCTAACCCTAGGGCTACACACATAAGCCTAACCCTAGGGCTACACACATAAGCCTAACCCTAGGGCTACACACATAAGCCTAACCCTAGGGCTACACACATAAGCCTAACCCTAGGGCTACACACATAAGCCTAACCCTAGGGCTACACACATAAGCCTAACCCTAGGGCTACACACATAAGCCTAACCCTAGGGCTACACACATAAGCCTAACCCTAGGGCTACACACATAAGCCTAACCCTAGGGCTACACACATAAGCCTAACCCTAGCGCTACACACATAAACTTAGCCCTAGGGCTACACACATAAGCTTAACCCTAGGGCTACACACATAAGCCTAACCCTAGGGCTACACACATAAGCCTAACCCTAGGGCTACACACATAAGCCTAACCCTAGGGCTACACACATAAACTTAACCCTAGGGCTACACACATAAGCCTAACCCTAGGGCTACACACATAAACTTAACCCTAGGGCTACACACATAAGCCTAACCCTAGGGCTACACACATAAGCCTAACCCTAGGGCTACACACATAAGCCTAACCCTAGGGCTACACACATAAGCCTAACCCTAGGGCTACACACATAAGCCTAACCCTAGGGCTACACACATAAGCCTAACCCTAGGGCTACACACATAAGCCTAACCCTAGGGCTACACACATAAGCCTAACCCTAGGGCTACACACATAAGCCTAACCCTAGGGCTACACACATAAGCCTAACCCTAGGGCTACACACATAAGCCTAACCCTAGGGCTACACACATAAGCCTAACCCTAGGGCTACACACATAAGCCTAACCCTAGGGCTACACACATAAACCTAACCCTAGGGCTACACACATAAACTTAACCCTAGGGCTACACACATAAGCCTAACCCTAGGGCTACACACATAAGCTTAACCCTGTGATAGTTACTTTAGTAGCTAAACTGAGCTTTTATCTTAGACCATTCCAAGTTGTGGAGTGCCCCACATCCCAGAACTAAACTGAGCTTTTATCTTAGACCATTCCAAGTTGTGGAGTGCCCCACATCCCAGAACTACTGCGAGACATGATGAACCTGGAACCTCTGCTGACAGATGATGATCTTCCCCCGGAATCTTTGATGGAGACCCCATTTCCTGAACAGGCTCTCTACTCGTACATGATGCAGTTGGCAGAACTGCGCCTCTACAAGCTGGTGCGCTGGGCTCGCAATCTACCACAGTTTGGTGCCATATCTGTAAGGAGCTTTACATTTACCCTTCTAATGCAGTCAGACTTGATGGCTGGGGTGCTATATCTGTAAGGAGCTTTACATTTAATCTTCTAATGCAGTCAGACTTGATGGCTGGGGTGCTATATCTGTAAGGAGCTTTACATTTAATCTTCTAATGCAGTCAGACTTGATGGCTGGGGTGCTATATTGTTTTAAATGATCTTTAAAGTTGAATTTATTTTCCCTCCCTCTTTTAGACTGATCTTTAAAGTTGACTTCCCTCCAACTTTTAGACTGATCTTTAAAGTTGACTTCCCTCCAACTTTTAGACTGATCTTTGAAGTTGACTTCCCTCCAACTTTTAGACTGATCTTTAAAGTTGACTTCCCTCCAATTTTTTGACTGATCTTTAAAGTTGACTTCCTCCAACTTTTAGACTGATCTTTAAAGTTGACTTCCCTCCACCTTTTAGACTGATGACCAGATTTTGTTACTCCAAAACTGCTGGTCTGAGTTGATAGCGCTGAGCCTGTGCTGGAGGTCTATAGACAGCCCCAACCAGATCAGCATCTCTTCCAGCCACCATATAACAGCCGAGTGGGCCCAACATTTGGGATTTGAAGATTTGGTCATCCGTCTGCTCAACATCACTGACAACTTTAGGAAACTTTATTTAGACCAGTTTGAGTATGTGGCTTTAAAGGTGCTACTGCTCATTACACCTGGTGAGTTCTGGTTTTATCATGTTTCATTATCTTCTGGTTGTATAGGTGTGTGTGTTCCATGATATTCTGGTTGTGTAGGTGTGTGTTCCATGATATTCTGGTTGTGTAGGTGTGTGTTCCATGATATTCTGATTGTATGTGTGTGTGTTCCATAATATTCTGGTTGTATAGGTGTGTGTGTTCCATCATCTTCTCATTTTATAGGTGTGTGTTTCATGATATTCTAGTTGTATAGGTGTGTGTTCCATGATATTCTGGTTGTATAGGTGTGTGTTCCATGATATTCTGATTGTATGTGTGTGTGTTCCATAATATTCTGGTTGTATAGGTGTGTGTGTTCCATCATCTTCTCATTTTATAGGTGTGTGTTTCATGATATTCTAGTTGTATAGGTGTGTGTTCCATGATATTCTGGTTGTATAGGGGTGTGTTCCATGATATTCTGGTTGTATAGGTATGTGTGTTCCATGATATTCTGGTTGTATAGGTGTGTGTGTTCCATGATATTCTGGTTGTATAGGTGTGTGTTCCATGATATTCTGGTTGTATAGGTGTGTGTTCAATGATATTCTGGTTGTGTAGGTGTGTGTGTTCCATGATATTCTGGTTGTATAGTTGTGTGTTCCATGATATTCTGGTTGTATAGGGGTGTGTGTTCAATGATATTCTGGTTGTATAGGTGTGTGTTCCATGATATTCTGGTTGTATAGGTGTGTGTTCCATGATATTCTGGTTGTATAGGTGTGTGTGTTCCATGATATTCTGGTTGTATAGGTGTGTGTTCCATGATATTCTGGTTGTATAGGTGTGTGTTCCATGATATTTTGGTTGTATAGGTGTGTGTTCCATGATATTCTGGTTGTATAGGTGTGTGTGTTCCATGATATTCTGGTTGTATAGGTGTGTGTTCCATGATATTCTGGTTGTATAGGTGTGTGTTCCATGATATTTTGGTTGTATAGGTGTGTGTTCCATGATATTCTGGTTGTATAGGTGTGTGTGTTCCATGATATTCTGGTTGTATAGGTGTGTGTTCCATCATCTTCTGGTTTTATAGGTGTGTGTTCCATGATATTCTGGTTGTATAGGTGTGTGTTCCATGATATTCTGGTTGTATAGGTGTGTTCCATGATATTCTGGTTGTATAGGTGTGTGTTCCATGATATTCTGGTTGTATAGGTGTGTGTGTTCCATGATATTCTGGTTGTATAGGTGTGTGTGTTCCATGATATTCTGGTTGTATAGGTGTGTGTTCCATGATATTCTGGTTGTATAGGTGTGTGTGTTCCATGATATTCTGGTTGTATAGGTGTGTGTGTTCCATGATATTCTGGTTGTATAGGTGTGTGTGTTCCATGATATTCTGGTTGTATAGGTGTGTGTGTTCCATGATATTCTGGTTGTATAGGTGTGTGTTCCATGATATTCTGGTTGTATAGGTGTGTGTTCCATGATATTCTGGTTGTATAGGTGTGTGTTCCATGATATTCTGGTTGTATAGGTGTGTGTGTTCCATGATATTCTGGTTGTATAGGTGTGTGTGTTCCATGATATTCTGGTTGTATAGGTGTGTGTTCCATGATCTTCTGGTTGTATAGGTGTGTGTGTTCCATGATATTCTGGTTGTATAGGTGTGTGTGTTCCATGATATTCTGGTTGTATAGGTGTGTGTTCCATGATCTTCTGGTTGTATAGGTGTGTGTGTTCCATGATATTCTGGTTGTATAAGTGTGTGTTCAATGATATTCTGGTTGTATAGGTGTGTGTTCAATGATATTCTGGTTGTATAGGTGTGTGTTCCATGATATTCTAGTTGTATAGGTGTGTGTTCCATGATATTCTGGTTGTATAGGTGTGTTCCATGATATTCTAGTTGTATAGGTGTGTGTTCCATGATATTCTGGTTGTATAGGTGTGTGTGTTCCATGATATTCTGGTTTTATAGGTGTGTGTTCCATGATATTCTGGTTGTATAGGTGTGTGTGTTCCATCATCTTCTGGTTGTATAGGTGTGTGTGTTCAATGATATTCTGGTTGTATAGGTGTGTGTGTTCCATGATATTCTGGTTTTATAGGTGTGTGTTCCATGATATTCTAGTTGTATAGGTGTGTGTTCCATGATATTCTGGTTGTATAGATGCGTGTGGTCCATATTCTGGTTGTATAGGTGTGTGTTCCATGATCTTATGGTTTTATAGGGGTGTGTTCCATGATCTTCTGGTTGTATAGGTGTGTTCCATGATATTCTGGTTGTATAGGTGTGTGTTCCATCATGTCATTGTACTTGGTGAGTTCTGGTTTTATAGATGTCATTCTGGTATAGATGGGTACTCAAACTTTACTTTTGTATCTCTATTGCAGATGTGAAGGGACTGAAAGAGCCTAAAAAAATCCGGGACTTTCAAGATAAATTGACAGAAGCTCTTCTGGCCTATACCTCCAGCCACTACCCCCACCTGAATGATAAATTTGGAGCTTTACTGCTGCGCCTACCTGAACTGTCCCGCATTAGCTTCATGAGCAAAGATATCCTATTGAAAACACTGCCTTCATGCATGTCCTCTTGTGGCCTTCTGGTTGAGTTGTTGAAAGGAGACAATAAGGGAGAAGGTGACAACTCCAGCTTCAAGTTATCTTGAGCAGCACATTCACCCAAACCAGCTGGCATCCAAACCATTGGACTGACATTAGGCATAGAGGTCTGCTATTCAGAAGACAAACCTGCAAATTGACATAACCGTAATGTTCAAAACATTTCAGAAATGACCTATGTCAAAATGGCCTTCAATTTTCAGAATTTGTCTGCAAAAAGGCCAATTCCCATCCAAAAACAATTAACCTCTCATTCCCACTGCCCCACCCAAAAAAAACCAATGGTCCCCTTGTTTCCCCCTCCCCACTCAATTAAAAATTGGGCTGTTACTTTGTTCTATAATGTTGTAAAAATGCCAAGAGTGTTAATTTTTGGTGCTAGTGTCCAATCTATAGGGAAACTTAACCTGTGTAGGCTTGGATATTCAGTTCTAACTTCAACTTCTTTACTGCAGTACTGTCTAGTCTAACATGCAAATGTCAGGCTATCATTTTGTACTCTATGAATACAAATCTACTTGCAGGGCTAAAACCAAATGGGGGGGGGGGGGGGGGGGGTTTACATTGTGAAGCTGGAACAGCCATATTTTCTGGTAAGCAATATTTTTAATGCAGGCTTAGCTTTAAGTAAAAAAAAACTAGTTTTTTTTTAATTATATCTAAATTGTTCTTTAGCCTCAAACAAAAAATAGGAGTTACTTGCCTTGACTGTCTAGAGATGTATGTCTTTCAATGAGGTCAATAGATGTTTAGTGCATTTGGTAATAATGGTTAGATTGATGTCAAACTAGCAAGAATTGAATGAGTTCTGTAACCAGCTTAGCAGCTCCAGTTTGAACATTCTTACAAGCAGAGATAAGTTGTTTTTACAGGAAATATTAGTTTTTCCTTCAAGGAACATTTTCCAAGCTACACAAAAGTCTTAATGCTTCTCAGCTTATTGGGAGTAATATTTGACATGTCAAACTAGTATGTGACTAGATTGACATGTCAAACTAGTATGTGACTAGATTGACATGTCAAACTAGTATGTGACTAGATTGACATGTCAAACTAGTATGTGACTAGATTGACATGTCAAACTAGTAAGTGACTAGATTGACATGTCAAACTAGTAAGTGACTAGATTGTACTGCGTGTCTAGAGAGCCCAGTGTGCATGAGATGTTCGACTGTATTTTACGTTGGACGAAATTTTACGTGCAATACATTTCTCTGATAGGTCTATTTCATTGATGTTTATCATTGCCATCAAAATGAAATTTTTAAATTTTTTTTTGTCAGTTGTGTTATGAGAGTCTGGTTTTTTTTTGTCAGTTGTTTTATGAGAGTCTGTGGTTTTTTTTGTCAGTTGTTTTATGAGAGTCTGTGGTTTTTTTTGTCAGTTGTGTTATGAGAGTCTGTGGGTTTTTTTTGTCAGTTGTGTTATGAGAGTGTGTGGTTTTTTTTGTCAGCTGTTTTATGAGAGTCTGTGGTTTTTTTGTCAGTTGTGTTATGAGAGTCTGTGGTTTTTTTTGTCAGTTGTGTTATGAGAGTCTGTGGTTTTTTTTTTGTCAGTTGTGTTATGAGAGTCTGTGGTTTTTTTTGTCAGTTGTGTTATGAGAGTCTGTGGGTTTTTTTGTCAGTTGTGTTATGAGAGTCTGTGGTTTTTTTTGTCAGTTGTTTTATGAGAGTCTGTGCTCTTGAATAGATGTTATAGTTTTCTCCTTGTTTAGGGTACACACAGCACACATTGGTTCCATAAAGTTAAGATAGAATGCTCAAGTAAAGGTTAGAATTAGAGGTTTACTCAAGTGAAGGTTAGAATTAGAGGTTTACTCAAGTGAGGGTTAGAATTGCAGGTTTACTCAAGTAAGGGTTAGAATTAGAGGTTTACTCAAGTAAGGGTTAGAATTAGAGGTTTACTGGGTTGGCGCTAGAAAGTGTTTACGTCTTTAAAATGTTTCAGCAAGGTTAATAAAGCCTGACCATTCAACATAGCCCTCACACATGTTAGAGCACTGACCATTCAACATAACCCTCACACATGTTAGAGAACTGACCATTCAACATAACCCTCACACATGTTAGAGAACTGACCATTCAACATAACCCTCACACACATGTTAAAGAACTGCCCATTCAACATAACCCTCACACATGTTAGAGCACTGACCATTCAACATAACCCTCACACATGTTAGAGCACTGACCATTCAACATAACCCTCACACATGTTAGAGAACTGACCATTCAACATAAATCTTAATTGGCCATACTCTGTAGCAGGACTGAACAAATAAAACAAATACTTAGTTTATTCTCTGGGCCTTCACTATCCCCAAACATTTTCCTTGTCATTAGTGTGAGAGAGACAAAAATTGTTCTTTTTTTTTTGTGTACTTACTAGTTTTACTTTTTCTATACATAATATTGACTTGTTGATTGATTTTGGTTGTTGGTTTTTTTTTGGGGGGGGGGGGGGGGGGGGGTGAGGTAACAACCTATTGTGCTGTCAGGGGAAGATGTTGAAACTGATGACACTTGCTGTTGTCTGGAAAGAATTTTTGTTTTTGTTGGAGCCTCCACTGTAAGATCTGTAAATAAAATGATTGAATTCAGTTTTGTTTTATCTATTTACAAGCTACACGATAGAAGTTTTTTCTTCAAGCTCCCCCAACATCTTGGTCACAAGAAATCTGTAGAAAACAGCAGTGTTTTAGTGGCTAATTGAATTCCTAAGATTCTTCTAGTCTTGCACACCTAAATGTCTCAACTTTGTTATCAGGGTTTGATCAACGCTGGCAGACATAGCTGCCATCTAGAACCCCGAGGGGAGGTGCACAACCGACCATACATTTTTTTTCTAAGTAAAATTTAATTTTCGTGCATGTTCAAGTTTTGTATTTTAAAAAAGTGAATACGGTAGCTGCGGTCGGATTATATTTATGTGTCAAACTGATTTTTTTTAAAGGGTCCCAGAGCTTTTTTTAAAAGTTGCTTTGTCAAGAACTCATGGTTCTAAGATAGTGGGTACTAAATTTGTTCATATATCTCAAGTAGTGAACAAGTTATGACATAGTGGGTACTAAATTTGTTCATATATCTCAAGTAGTGAAAAAGTTATGACATAGTGGGTACTAAATTTGTTCATATATCTCAAGTAGTAAACAAGTTATGACACAGTGGGTACTAAATTTGTTCATATATCTCAAGTAGTAAAATAGGACGTTTCAAAAAGTTGCTTTTTAACTTTTTGTCACAAACACAATCTTTTGAACTCAACACAAATACACAGAACAGACTCCTCAATTTTTTTTTTTTTTTGTCAAACCTCAAAAAAGTACACCATTTAAATTAATTGCATTGAAATTGGCTTTCTCAATTTTTTATTAAAAAAATAAAATTAAAGAAGGTAAGTAAAATACACAAATATATAAAACTTAACTCTGTATGTAAAGTGTAAAATGTTTGTCGCGGATACTTCAATGGATTTAAGTGTTAGATTATTAAAGTCCTTATGGTCTAAATTTATGAGTTAAAAAATTAATATTGAAAGTGTTGGGAAATAATTTTCATTTTTCAAACTGAAAGTGATAATTGTCGGCATGTTCATTAAACACAAGTTTAAAAAATTTCTTTTACAAAAATTCTAATTATGTCTTTATTTAGTCCTTTAGTACTTACTTCCCTTTGATAAATTAGGAAAACACAATTACTTCCCTTTATAAAACCCATTGCATTAGTGGCAAAGAATTTACTTTTTATTACTTTGTTTTGGTGTTGGGAAAAAAATAATAATTACATAATTAGCGGGGATTGATCAAGTGCAAATGTTGTAGGTATTTTACGGATAAGCTTGGAGTATTATAATTGTTCATTAAATTGAAACAGGCGCGTTCGTTTCAGTGAGTGCAAAAGACTATGAATAAGTTGGGGTACTATAGTCGTTTATTAAGCTGAAACAGGCGATTCCGCCCCGGGCTAGACTGTGAGCGTTTATGTTCGTGTTAGTGTTTTCTTTGTGTTTAGGTTGGGTTTGCGTTAGTGGTTGCGTTTTGATTTGGTTCGTTTTTTAACACGTTTTTCTTAACTCAGCTTCGCGTTTATTTGTTTGTTTGTTTATGGGTTTGTTGTTAAAATTGACAACGAAAATTAGCCCACTTCTGATTTCTCTAGAGATCTGAAATTCGGCATGCAGGCTATTTTCGCCTAACAATTTCAGATGCAATCATAAAAACTAGCAATTAGAGACCTAAATTAGCTTAATTAAATTACGCCCCTTCTCTGTTTAAAGCGTATCGGTCGCTCAAGATTTTTAGTCCGTGTATTTAAAAACACTTAGTCAAGTCATACTTAATCAAGTCAATAGATAAAGTAGAAAATAAACTATATAAAAAACTAAAAATTTATAGTTAAATTATTTTTTTTTTAGCGCAATTTCCATTCTGGAGAATTGCGTTTATTAACCCGTCATTTCTGGATGCATAAATGGATGGATGGATGTGTGTCCGCAGGTTTAAGTCGTATCTCCTCCTCAACGAAGCAATATCGAGGACTAGTTCCAAAGCAATTATGTTAAGCAAGTTACGAGGATGAACATAGGCCATAAAAATTCCGGGTTTCTTTCATGGATTTCCCGGAAAAGCCAAAACTCGAAAAAATGCAGTTTTTGGCCCATATCTCGGCAACCAAACCACTTAGCGACTTGAAACATGTACCAATCGATTCCTGCCATAATTTAGAACAATATTGCCGAAGAAAGTTTTCAAAAATATCCTTTCGTTAGGTCACAAAAAAAATTTTGAATTAATTAAAATTTCGACCGAATTAGTAGGCATTTTTATTCAACCACACCACACGCGTCATCACGTTCAATGGCTGCGTCATCACGTTCAGTAGCTAGGCGCGCAATGGTTTTTAGTCATGTAACTATCTATCTATATATATAATTCTCTTCTTCGAGCCGTTAGAAAACAAGCTGCAAACGCTCTCCCTACCTCCCCACCCCTACATGGTTTTAGTGAGCTGTGTTCACTCTAAATGTTTACAAGCAGAGCCAACGATTTTAAACGTAGGAGGGGGGAGGGGAAGGAAGGGGGGGGGGGGCTATGGTCCTTAACGAGCTACTTATAGTGTTTTAAAGAAATATTTTCAGTGTCAGCGTTGGTACTGTCGAATTCACAAATTATGAATTATTGAAAATTAGAAACAACTAAATAGCGGCGTATGTTATGCCGCGGGCCGGCTCGTTGTAAATAAAACATGTATTTTAACTAATGGTTTTACTAACCCTGCTCTTGATTTACGCTACGACAGAGCTATTTTTAGATAACATAAGGAAATTGCGCTAAAATTGTCACTAGACTTTTTAATTACCTTGTTTGCATTTTTAACTTGATGGTTGTTTTGTAAAAATGATTACCGTAGCTGCGATTGGATTATCTTTATTCTATAGACACCACCCCACGCTCTTGTAGATTCTTTTTCCCTTTGTTTTTAAACCACAGTGAAAGCCGAGTCCTCTTTCTCCTACAATCAAACTTATCTATATATGTAAAGCAAAGTGGTCAGGTGCCCGACAGGGCACTTCCCGGCGCCGCAGGCGCGTCAAATTTGGCACGATGATGCCTTGGGGCGATAGAACACGAGGGCCGGTGACGGTTTGCCGAAAAGTCTACGGAGAGGGGCTCAAAACTGACCTCGACTGACCGGCGCCTTATATGGGCTATATTACGAAAAAAAATTTCCTCCGACGACCCCCCTTGAAATATTGTGAGGTGGTGGGAGAACGCCTTGGGGTGTCACAAAAAACTCGCCATGTCCGGGAAAATTCGGGTAATGGTCAAAACTGACCAGTCGTATTTTCCTATATAATCTTTGTATTTTATGGGAAAAACAGAGGGTGATTTCAAAACGGATTTTATGGCACTTACCGTCTTTAATCTGGCTAATTTTTTGCATGCTCTTAGGAAAATGGCTTAACCTTTAGGGAAAACTATCGGTTTCATTCAAAGCCCTCAACTGTTTGTTTTTAAAAAAGTAAACAAAGACATACGTCATTCGGTCCATTTTCAAGGGAGGTAACCTTTTTAAATAATTATTTTTCAGATAATTGTATACTGTTTGAAACAGAAACAGAAAATGACAAATTATAGCATTTTTTAGTAAAAAATTAAGTTGTTAATTATGCTACGTATACTAATTAAATAAGTTAATTAATTTTAAAAGTCAATGTAATATAAATTATGAGATATACTGTTCATGGATCCTCTGTAGTTCTAATTCCATTTTAGTCATAGATTGTGTACTTTCAGATATTTTCTCTAAAAACGGATGTTAAACAACATACAACAGCATCTTCTCTAAAATTAGCGTTACTGTTTAAATTCAAGCACTTCACACCTCATCCATCACTAAATAATGAGTATTCAAATTATCAAATGTTTTTGAAAACCTAGGCGAAGCTAGGCAGTATGCCTAGTCATATATAAGCAAACGTTCAAACCACTTCCATGACTTATTTCCCTTTTTTAAATAGTCAAATAGGGGTGCTCATAAGCTCCTTTTAATAGATTTGCACTAAACAAATTAAAAAGCAATTACTTCTCTTAACTATTATATTTTAATAAAATACTTACTAAAGAATGACATTGTATAAAAAGGAAACATAAAAATAAACATAACACGAGACACCATTACTTATACAAAGCTTTCAGGTTTATATTCTTTTGACCGACTAGATGTTAAGAGGACTTTTGGCAGAGACAAAATGAAACTGATTTTCACAAAACAGACTAATGCACTTACACACATGACGTATGTTGTAATTTGTTTATAATTTAAAAAAAAAAACATTTTTTTTTCAAAACCCGAACAGACCAGCAATGAGTATCCTTTGTTCGTATTATGTGTTTGTATGTATATATATATATATATATATATATATATATATATATATATATATATATATATATATATATATGGGGGGGCCTAAAACTTTTTTTTTGCGGGGTGGCCCTTTTTTTCTAGTTCCGCCACTGGATCTACCTCTAGGTACCGTCACCCTCCGTGTCCACAGACAGCAGCCTTGGGTCTGACTGACATGGCTAGGCACGAACTACCCATAATCCCATGTCACATGATGATGACATGGACCACAGTTAAAATCGCTCACTGAAGAGCATGCAAAAAAACTACATCAACAGTTGCGGTCCCACAGGGGCCGCAACCCAATGAAATACAACTTTAATACTTATCCCCCATTGGCTGGTAACCATATGTGTTACAAATAAAAGAGAAATTTTAAGCGATCTCACTCACGCTTTATTTAGATACGTTTTCTCGGTAGTTTCCCTTTTTCTATGGTACTCTTCTGTCTCATAGTTATTATTTATATATTTATTATACAGTCATACACATAGTCTTTAGTTATGCCCATTAATATTTTAAAATTTTCATTGTTTTTTTTTAATCTTAAAAGCACTTAGGGTTAGGCACTTAAGCTAAATGTTATCTTCAACTATTTAAAAATTATAGGCCCCTACAAGATAAAAAATGTGTACCTTTTTACAAGCTTTTATTTAACTTGCTTACTCTAAATAAATATTAGTAGGCCTCTAAACTCTAAACTAAAGGCTAAGCAACAAAGGTAGTGACCCACGTTTTTTAAATAGCTATTTAAAGAGTAGAGTTTTATTAGATCTATAATAATCTAGATCTATATATTTAACGAAAATCATTTATTTTCTACTTTTTAGTGCATTATTAGTATATTACATACAAGCTTGTTATTAAAACGTTTTTTAGGAATTTTTTTTTTTAGTTACAGACTAAACAGAAAAATCTGGCCAACCTAGATTTCTAGATCTACTTACATTAGGCCTAGATTCTAATTGTTTTTTATTTTTCTTTATTTTTTCACACTAGGCTAGAGAATTTAAAATAGACTAGGACAGTCAGTAGTTATAGCTGAGTGATAGCCTACTCACTGCAGATACTAGATTCTAGAATCTAGACTACAGTTAATAAAGTCAGGCGTAATCAATTCAATATGGATCAGAATAGCCATTGGCTCGGGGGCCTAATCATTTTTTATTAAAAGTCTAGAATTTAGATTATTGTAGATCTAGAGTCTAGTCCAGATTCTAGATCTAGATCTAGAATTCTGGAGCATTACTAGATCTAGATCTATATTCTAGATCTAGATTTTCCTTAGTAATAAATCAATACCGCAGCAATGGCCCTCGGGAAATCGCCTTTCTCAATTAATCTTATTGACTGCAAAGGTAGGCAATCCAGCTGTATATTTACTATATTTTATACATTAATTAATATTATGCTTAGTACTAGATCTAGAGTAGGCCCTACTAAATTAATTTAATTATTAGATAACTAGGTTCTAGATCTAGTCCTTTTCATATTCAATTTGCCAAACAATTTATAGTATAGGAGGATAGGCCTAACTAATCTAGTTAATTTTTAAATATAATAGTAATGTATAGGCCTATCTCATGATCTCTTTATCATACAGACCTACACTAGTGGAAGACAATTAGATCTAGTATTTCTATTATTTTAGGCTTAGGCACACAATCAAAAACAGCAACCGTTTTAAAAAAATAGCTTCCCACTCTCAAAGTAGGAATGATCTCTGACCTCAAATGTGCTAGCTTCATTTTTTTTCTTTTGAGGGTTTTTGTTTCGGAAAATGTTTTTCTGTTAACTCTTTGAGACCGTAACAACGCCCCCATCGATTGACAGGCTGGCTTGCCATGCCGTAACAATGCTCCCAACATCCAATTAAATTTTCTCTATTTAATTCCTTGTTTTTCAGAATACAAGTTCTTAATTGTAAATCTAGGTCATGATAATGCTAGAGCAGCCAGTTTTCATTGTATTTACTTTTTGTGGTTTTCTGGTTATAAAAATTGATTGATTTTGTATTTTATTTTTAAATTATTTTTTTTTGTAAAACAACTTGCTAAATAGCATTTTTTAACACTGCGGAATCAGTGTTTCGTTTAGACTTTTTTCTCCGGGGGCACTTGAAATTTATATTAAAAATTTTTTTTTATATAAATTCCGTGCGGAGTGCCCGCATTTAAATGTTTACATCGCAGCATTATAAAATTAACCGAAATTCAAGTATTTATGCTAAGACTAATCCGATCCATGATTTTTGTAGAAAAATTGATGTCCTTTCGTTTTCTATGAATAAGAACTCATGAAAAGGAATTCTTATCATTGATTTTCCCCACAGAAGCGTATTTTTTTCCTGAAAAAAATCAACTCTTTTTTTTTAATTTAAAACTAAGTAATCATCTTTTCTCCAAAAAATAAATAATTACTTAAAATTTATATTAGTGTGTAGGACATTCAATTATGATTAATTTATATTAGCAATGTGTGGGTTTTAAATGAGCGGGTAAAAAGATATGAGTCGTAAAGCCGCTGGGGTACTAAATAAAATTGAATGAAAAAAAAATAATTCCGGTAGAACATGAAAATTATTACAGGCTTAAAGAGTTAATTTTCACCTATTTTCCCACGTTTTCTTTAACTTGCTTTCGCGTCTGTTTGTTTGTTTGTTTGGTTCTCCAATTAAATCTTGCGATCGAAATTTCGGGCACTTCCCAGTTAGCTAGCGCGCTGAAATTTTCAGGGAAGCTTTGTTTCCGATGACAATAGAATATTCAATTGTTATTATTACTAAATTGATCCATGGAAAATTTTTATTGATCATTTTAGGCCCCTATATATTTGTACAAAAAAGGGACATAACCTAGTAATTGTAATTTGATGAAAACAAGGTTCGGTATTCTCCCTCTTTTGGCTTACTGAGTAGTGGTCACGCGGTGTTTGTGTACAAACAACGGTGAAAGAAACGGCAACACAGAAAAAAGGTCGATTAGAAAAGGCATGTGTTTTTTACGAGTTGTCTTCGTTTACCCAAAAAAAAAGTTAATGCGAGAAGATAAAATCGATAGCAAGATTTGAAAGGAAACAAACAGACAAAGACTAAAAAGTAGAAAATAATTATCATTAAAAAAGTTTTTAAAAACCCACGTTTTCTGATTGAACTAAAAAGTAGAAAATAAATACTATACATCACAATAATGCTAGCGATCACTCTACTATAAGCGATGAAAAACGTGGGGCGCCGTGATTTTCTTACAGTTTTTAATACTGTTGACTCTCTACAAGCTCCCTAATAAAACTCAATAGTATTATCTAATCAATAGTAATATAACTTTTACATCTTATATTAACAATGACCGATAAAAAACTTTTACTTCGGCGCCCCACGTTTTTCATCGCTTATAGTAGAGTGATCGCTTGCATTATTGTGATGTATAGCATTTATTTTCTACTTTTTAGTTCAATCAGAAAACATGGGTTTTTTAAAACTTTTTTAATGATCATTATTTAAAAACCTGAAATAACCTCTGAAAATCTAAAACATTTTTTAATGCAAAAATGTCATCACACATACTGTAACTGCCCTCCCCTTTGATCACAAATCGTCACTATGAACATTGCATCTTTCCATAGTAACGTAGAATTGTTTAATGAAAACAAGTTAAGACGTTAATTAAAGAAACAACAATCTATATAACTATAATGAAAGTGTTTGTCTGTCCTTTATGCTTTACTTCACCTTTCATCCAATCAACGTGAAACTTTGGGAAGAGGTGGAGTAAAGTATACTCCTGGGGGGGAGGGGGGATTTCTGCAGGGAGGGGGAAATGTTAAATTTTGGAGGAGCGGCATCTCGGTGGGTTGCAATGGGATTTTACTCTAGACACGATATATAAAATTAAATTAAAGTGCAGTTTGACACAGTTGATCCAAGTGCCATGATTAGGGATTTTTCTCTATACAGTTTTTAAAGTCAGATTCTGCTTAGCATCCAGAATTCCCCATGAGCATAATGGTGCCAACATTAGTTTTAGGTACTGAGAGGAGTGTCATCCCCTTGTAATGGTGCCAACATTAGTTTTAGGTACTGAGAGGAGTGTCATCCCCTTGTAATGGTGCCAACATTAGTTTTAGGTACCGAGAGGAGTGTCATCCCCTTGTAATGGTGCCAACATTATTTTTAGGTACTGAGAGGAGTGTCATCCCCTTGTAATGGTGCCAACATTAGTTTTAGGTACTGAGAGGAGTGGCATCCCCTTGTAATGGTGCCAACATTAGTTTTTGGTACTGAGAGGAGTGTCATCCCCTTGTAATGGTGCCAACATTAGTTTTAGGTACTGAGAGGAGTGGCATCCCCTTGTAATGGTGCCAACATTAGTTTTAGGTACTGAGAGGAGTGTCATCCCCTTGTAGTTGTTACAGTTACTGAGGTCACCTTCCATGGGGAGCTTTATCAGAGTAGGTTGGTATTTCCCCCACCCCTCCGCATCCTCTCAAAGAGTGGATGTAACATCTCTACTCTAAGGTCTCCTTCATCTGTTGTTCACATCTCATATCTTGAGTTTTATACTTTTTTCTTAGCCTCAATCCCTAGTGGCTGACACACTGGAGGGTGAAAAGTTTAATTTAAAAAGTCAATAGAAATTTTTTTAATAATTTATAAACTGGCTTCCTAATATTTGTTTCTGCTCATTGTTTAGGGTATTGTGATTCATATTCAAAGTCTAACTATAAAAAAATTCATAAAAAACGTTTTAATAACAAGCTTTTATGTAATAATGCACTAAAAAGTAGAAAATAAATTATAGACTACTATTTAAATAACTAGAAAGAAAAGCGTGGGTCACTTTAGTATCTATTGGATACCTACACTAATGTTTAGGAAGACACCCACGCTTTTCTTTCTAGTTATTTAAATAGTAGTCTATAATTTATTTTCTACTTTTTAGTGCATTATTACATAAAAGCTTGTTATTAAAACGTTTTTTATGAATTTTTTTGTCAGTACTTTACATGTTTTATTTAAACATGACTAAAAACCATTGCGCGCCTACTGAACATCACGTTCAGTAGGCGCGCAATGGTTTTTGAACGCAGCCATTGAACGTGATGGCGCAGCTATTGAAGGTGATGACGCATGTGGTGTGGTTGGATAGACATGCCTACAAAATTGGGTCCAAATTTTTCATTAATTCATAAAAAATTAATTAGGCATCCAATTAAGTCAAATTTAATTTCAGATTGCATTGTCTTCATGTCTTGACCCACGTGTCAAATGTGAATCGTATCGGTCAAGTAGAAGCGTCCGAATTTTCACTCCTGCGTTTCGGTCTAGACTGACGACTGACGACAGAGGAAGCAAGTTAAATAAAAGCTTGTAAAAAAAACCAATCTAAAGGCACTTGGGTAACAAACATATCAAACGGTATTCTGGTTCTAGGGTTCTGTTGTCTTCCCCAAGGATGTTTATTTCTCTTTCTTTACTTAGCACATCTTGGCACATTGTCAATAGCTGAAATGCTAGTCAGAGCTACTTAAAATGAACCAGCATTGTCTTGGGGTAATGCCCTGAATACTTTAGCTGTGTTAGTGTTGTTACCCAGTTGCAGGGAAGCAGAAAATAGTATTTCCCATTATAAAACATGTACTGGTGTAACCTACCCAGTGGCCTGAGACAGGGTACCTGTGATGATGTAAGGCTACGTCAAGGGTAGGTCAAGCAGATAGAGGTTAGCAGAAACAGACTATAGCAAGTTGGTTAGGTAGACCAATGAAAGTACAGGAGCTGACGGGTCACGTGGGACGGTCAGTTGACCACTGAGGCATGGGCAAGAAGTTAGATCAGGTAGACAGATGATAGTTAGCTAGCGAGAGAAGGTGTTAGGTATTGGTTAGAGAGGGTCGTAATTATGTAGAGCTAGGGAACAGTTAGATAGTGTTAGGATTGGTCATGGGAGTGCATAGTTAGTAGTAGTAGTAGTAGATAGCATATAGTATGAACAGTAAGATAGAAGTACTACAGTGTAGATTAGTTAGGTAGGAAGTTGATTATACATTTTTAATAAAGAACTTTATATTTTGACTTGAACTGGTGTGATTGGATTCACTTCATCAAATTCATCCAACCAACCCCCTCACACTCACAGTACCCAATTTATTACAGGGGTAGGGGTTACATTTACTGTTGGTCAATGGCTGCTTGTGACAACTAACAGTTTGGCCAAGCAATCAGTTCAATTTGACACCAACCACCTGTTTTATTAACTCAATGTGACATGTGATTTGTCTTGTTTAATGCACCCATTGTGACATGTGATTTGTCTTGTTTAATGCGCCCATTGTGACATGTGATTTGTCTTGTTTAATGCACCCATTGTGACATGTGATTTGTCTTGTTTAATTCTCCCATTGTGACATGTGATTTGTCTTGTTTAATTCTCCCATTGTGACATGTGATTTGTCTTGTTTAATGCACCCATTGTGACATGTGATTTGTCTTGTTTAATGCACCCATTGTGACATGTGATTTGTCTTGTTTAATTCTCCCATTGTGACATGTGATTTGTCTTGTTTAATGCACCCATTGTGACATGTGATTTGTCTTGTTTAATGCGCCCATTGTGACATGTGATTTGTCTTGTTTAATGCGCCCATTGTGACATGTGATTTGTCTTGTTTAATGCGCCCATTGTGACATGTGATTTGTCTTGTTTAATTCTCCCATTGTGACATGTGATTTGTCTTGTTTAATTCTCCCATTGTGACATGTGATTTGTCTTGTTTAATGCACCCATTGTGACATGTGATTTGTCTTGTTTAATGCGCCCATTGTGACATGTGATTTGTCTTGTTTAATTCTCCCATTGTGACATGTGATTTGTCTTGTTTAATGCGCCCATTGTGACATGTGATTTGTCTTGTTTAATGCACCCATTGTGACATGTGATTTGTCTTGTTTAATGCGCCCATTGTGACATGTGATTTGTCTTGTTTAATTATTCCATTGTGACATGTGATTTGTCTTGTTTAATGCACCCATTGTGACATGTGATTTGTCTTGTTTAATGCACCCATTGTGACATGTGATTTGTCTTGTTTTATTATCCCATTGTGACATGTGATTTGTCTTGTTTAATGCGCCCATTGTGACATGTGATTTGTCTTGTTTTATTATCCCATTGTGACATGTGATTTGTCTTGTTTAATGCACCCATTGTGACATGTGATTTGTCTTGTTTAATACACCCATTGTGACATGTGATTTGTCTTGTTTAATTCTCCCATTGTGACATGTGATTTGTCTTGTTTAATGCACCTATTGTGACATGTGATTTGTCTTGTTTAATTCTCCCATTGTGACATGTGATTTGTCTTGTTTAATTCTCCCATTGTGACATGTGATTTGTCTTGTTTAATGCACCCATTGTGACATGTGATTTGTCTTGTTTAATTCTCCCATTGTGACATGTGATTTGTCTTGTTTAATGTACCCATTGTGACATGTGATTTGTCTTGTTTAATGCTCCCATTGTGACATGTGATTTGTCTTGTTTAATGCGCCCATTGTGACATGTGATTTGTCTTGTTTAATTCTCCCATTGTGACATGTGATTTGTCTTGTTTAATGCACCCATTGTGACATGTGATTTGTCTTGTTTAATGCGCCCATTGTGACATGTGATTTGTCTTGTTTAATGCTCCCATTGTGACATGTGATTTGTCTTGTTTAATGCACCCATTGTGACATGTGATTTGTCTTGTTTAATGCACCCATTGTGACATGTGATTTGTCTTGTTTAATTCTCCCATTGTGACATGTGATATGTCTTGTTTAATTCTCCCATTGTGACATGTGATTTGTCTTGTTTAATTCTCCCATTGTGACATGTGATTTGTCTTGTTTAATTCTCCCATTGTGACATGTGATTTGTCTTGTTTAGTGCGCCCATTGTGACATGTGATTTGTCTTGTTTAATGCGCCCATTGTGACATGTGATTTGTCTTGTTTAATTCTCCCATTGTGACATGTGATTTGTCTTGTTTAATGCGCCCATTGTGACATGTGATTTGTCTTGTTTAATGCGCCCATTGTGACATGTGATTTGTCTTGTTTAATGCTCCCATTGTGACATGTGATTTGTCTTGTTTAATTCTCCCATTGTGACATGTCTGCAGCTGCCCTGAGGGAAGTCCTAGAGACTTTAGCACAGCCAGAGAATGCAGCTAAAATAGAAGAAGCAAGGCAAGCTGCTGGTAATGATATGCTCAAAAGCATGCAGACAGTCTTTCCTCTGGTAACACAAATGCAAATGCAGGTGATACAGCGATATGGTTTTCTCCCAGATGGGGAAGGTAGGATCAAGTTTTCAAAAAAAGTTCCTTTTGCTAATCAAATTCTCTAGTGGCATGAAAGACTTTAAAATACTTCTCTATTCATATATAAAAATTAAAATGCCTATTTTAAAAAAATATATAAAAAGTGTAATTTAGAAAAATAAATTTAATTTAAAAATAAAACTCCTTCAACATTTAGGTAGGAGGATAGTTTTCCCATGAAACTATTCAACCCTAAGCTATTAACTACAGAAATCCAGATTTGTTGTTCATTTCAAAATTTCCAAATTATTATTACTTTTCAATTTAAGCAGTTTGTTTGCATTGATATTGTATTGCTAATTTGGTAACCAAAAATTGCCATATGTTTTTAAACCCCTAGCTAAGTTGATAAAAGCACCATGTTCATGTTTTAAAAATTTCGAGCAAAGTTTAGAAATAAACCCTGCTTATGAAAAAATGGCTTTGTTTCAGGTCTAGTCCAGTTCACAAAGACAGTGAGAGTATTTGAAGAACAAGATCAAGAAGTTCGTCAGCTCAACAGTCAGCTTCGTGTATTACTTATTCCCCCAGTTCATGTGCCCCATCCTGTTGCACCACTTGTTCATCTCAATGGAGGCAGTTAGTCCCATGGACGAGCAGTGGAGGCAGTTAGTCCCATGGACGAGCAGTGGAGGCAGTTAGTCCCATGGACGAGCAGTGGAGGCAGTTAGTCCCATGGACGAGCAGTGGAGGCAGTTAGTCCCATGGACGAGCAGTGGAGGCAGTTAGTCCCATGGACGAGCAGTGGAGGCAGTTAGTCCCATGGACGAGCAGTGGAGGCAGTTAGTCCCATGGACGAGCAGTGGAGGCAGTTAGTCCCATGGACGAGCAGTGGAGGCAGTTAGTCCCATGGACGAGCAGTGGAGGCAGTTAGTCCCATGGACGAGCAGTGGAGGCAGTTAGTCCCATGGACGAGCAGTGGAGGCAGTTAGTCCCATGGACGAGCAGTGGAGGCAGTTAGTCCCGTGGACGAGCAGTGGAGGCAGTTAGTCCCATGGACGAGCAGTGGAGGCAGTTAGTCCCATGGACGAGCAGTGGAGGCAGTTAGTCCCATGGACGAGCAGTGACCAAATGATTGCTTGCAGACGAGGGGCCACTGTGTCCATCTGATTTGCTTCACTTGGTGGCTGTGGTGGACTAGTGGGCTTTAAGTTGCTTCACTTGGTGGACTAGTGGGCTTTAAGTTGCTTCACTTGGTGGCTGTGGTGGACTAGTGGGCTTTAAGTTGCTTCACTTGGTGGACTAGTGGGCTTTAAGTTGCTTCACTTGGTGGCTGTGGTGGACTAGTGGGCTTTAAGTTGCTTCACTTGGTGGCTGTGGTGGACTAGTGGGCTTTAAGTTGCTTCACTTGGTGGCTGTGGTGGACTAGTGGGCTTTAAGTTGCTTCACTTGGTGGCTGTGGTGGACTAGTGGGCTTTAAGTTGCTTCACTTGGTGGACTAGTGGGCTTTAAGTTGCTTCACTTGGTGGCTGTGGTGGACTAGTGGGCTTTAAGTTGCTTCACTTGGTGGCTGTGGTGGACTAGTGGGCTTGAAGTTGCTTCACTTGGTGGCTGTGGTGGACTAGTGGGCTTTGAGTTGCTTCACTTGGTGGCTGTGGTGGACTAGTGGGCTTTAAGTTGCTTCACTTGGTGGCTGTGGTGGACTAGTGGGCTTTAAGTTGCTTCACTTGGTGGCTGTGGTGGACTAGTGGGCTTTAAGTTGCTTCACTTGGTGGCTGTGGTGGACTAGTGGGCTTTAAGTTGCTTCACTTGGTGGACTAGTGGGCTTTAAGTTGCTGCTGCTCTAGTCTAGACAGGAAGGAGACTTTTTAGCTTAGAATTCTTTTTGCCTTTAAATTAAATCATAAATAAAACAAAAATATTTTTTCGCCACAACTTAGAATTTTTTTAAAACTAACATTTCCACAGTCAAATTTTTGTTTAATAAGTCCTCTTAGATAAAAAGGAAAAACCTTTGATTTATTTACTAAATAGGACATTCTTTTTTTATTCATTTGGTCAGATAAATCTTTACTGTCCTATGTAGGCAAAAACGCCTATTCTGTCTACACCATTCTTTTTGCTCACTATCAGGGTTGTTTGCTGCTCTTCAAGATATATGGCATTGTCATTAAAAGAACTGCTCAACTAACCGCATCCATTTTCCTCTATGAACATCCTAAATCATACTAAATGTAGCCTATTTGGTTTTTTAATAATCAATCATTGTAAGATAGATCTTTTAGGTATACTCTTGTTATTTATTACAAGCTTTTATTCCTCTGTCTATCTGTATGGGTCAAAACAGGCCATCGAAATATTGAACACTTAAAACCAACCTATTTTATCTATTGTATACAATCTTATCTATTGAATACCTTCACTAAAATTTGAAAAGGGAACCACGCTTTTCTATACTGTTATTCAAATAGTAGTGTATTATTATATTTATATATGTAAATAAAATAATTTTTTCTCCTTTTTAGTGTATAATTATATAAGCTTGTACTTAAAACGTTTTTTATGGTTTTTTACAAGCTTTATTTTAACTTGCTTAGTCTGTCTATCTGTCGTACTTAATGCTTTGTCATAGATCAAAACTGACTAGCAAAATTACGACCACTTCTAAACTATCAATTTCTCTGAGACTTAGCACGTGGGTCAAGACCTAATGACAACATAATCTGACATTGGATTCTTAATTAATTTTCTAAAAGTTAATTAAAGTTTCCTATTTAAAGCACTATTTACCACGCACATTTTTCATGTTCGTTTGGTGTGCAATAGTTATAAAATACATATTATCGATCCTGCCCTGCTGACTAATGCGATACTTAAAAATTTTAAGATTACATCTAAGGTGTATTTTTGGATACGTGACCTTGTTTTCTAAAACTGTGATTTAAATTTCAAATGTAAAGAAGGCAGGCTCTATTTCTTGGATCTGAGTTATTATGAGGCTGGTTTCTCCACTCTACCACCTAGACGCCCCAATACCTTATACAGTCAAAGGGAAACAAATAAGTTTTTTTTTTACCAAGTTATTTTTGAGAAAGAATCAATTCCTGGTTAATTCCCCTGAATATTCAAAATCAAATAAAATTACCTGTTTTTATTCTTGTCTTTTTGAACCCTTGTGGGCCGAAATTTTATTCTTTTTTCGCACTCTGCTTTCCAGAAGTATTATAAACATCTACCATAAGTTGAACGGCGACCGCCCAGGTGTCAAGGAAATAACAGGGCGCTCTCAGGGACCCCTAGTTGTACTACCGCTTGTTATACTTATTTTTAACTTATACTATACTACCGTTTTTACCACGGTAACCAGAAAAATGCGCAACGGAAAAAGAAGCAAAGAGAAATATGGACTAAATGAGATGACACATTTATACATAGGGATGCTGTGAGTGTCGTGTTTGATCACGTGATCTACTACCATTGTGCATTCACATCACCACGATTAGAGTGAATTAAATAGTCTTTTAAGAGCAAAGTGGATAAATCGGGGGGGGGGGGGGGGGGGGGGGGGTTACAACATCCAGCCGAATTTAGATACAAATCGTTAGAAATATCTAAACACATTTTAAAGCAATTGGGGGGGGGGGGGGGGGGGGGTACATCAACTTAACGTTGCAATAATATAGCCTATGCCTGAGGAAAACTGGTTAAGAATCGTAATAACCTATATGTTAATTCATGTATGGGGGGGGGGGGGAGGGGGGGCCAGAAGCAAAAAATGTATATATGCAAGTGTAAATGGAATCGGTAGCTTAGCGGGGTCAGGTATAACCCGGTGCGGCCCGTAAAAAAATACATATACTAGGCATACTGCCTAGCTTCGCTTAAGCTTTCAAATAACTTTTGAGAATTTGAATGATTAATTAATAGGTGATTGACTGTTATGTGGAGTGCTTAGGGCCTAAGCTTAATTAAACAGTTTGAGTAATTTTATGTCAAATATTAGCATTGGTGGAGTATTCGCAAACTAATTACTCGCAGGGTTATTAGAACTGCAAAGGCCTCCTTAAAAGTATAAATCAAATATTATAATCAATTGACGTATGCAAGTAATTTTTACAATTTCATTACAATATGTAACTTAATTGATAACAAAATATCTATTTAAACTAATGCTATACTTTGTGACTTATTTGTTGTTTTTTTTTTATTTAAAAGAGTAAACATATCCCAATTAACGTAGTCTTTGTTTACTTTTTCACAAACAATTGTTTATATAAGAATATATGTCATCTGGACAAATCTAACGACAATAAGGGTTTTTTTTTCCGACCGGAATAATAATTTTTATTTCCCTCCAGGGTCGGTCTACTACCTCACAAACTATCAAGGGGGGGGGGGGGGGTCATTCGGCAAATTTTTTTTTCGTAATATAGCTCATAAAAGGCGCCGGTCAGTCGAGGTCAGTTTTGACCCTCTCTTCGTGGACTGCGGCCGACCGGCACCGCCCCCGTGTTCTATTGCCCCAAGGCAGAAACCTGCCTAATTTGAAACGCCTTCGGCGCTGGGAAATACTTTATCGAGCACCCGACAACTTTGCTTTATATTTATATTATATACGAGCCGACCCGCGGTGTATCATACGCCGCTATTTAGTTGTTTTTTCTACTTTCCAGTAATTCATAATTTGTGAATTCGACAGTACCAATGCTGCAACTGAAAATATTTGCTTTAAAACACTAACCCCCCCCCCCACCCCGTGAAAGCAGCATCCTCTTAGTTACCTCCTCTAAGTTTAAAATAGTTTCAAACTGAATTATCTGCCCCTAATAACCGTCACCAAACCCGGCTCGACGATTGTTTTGTAAACATGATTTAGCGTGAACTACAACTCACCTGACCATGTGAGGGGGGTGGGGGTGGGGGGTGGTAGCGAAAGAGAGGAAGAGAGGGGACTGCAAGGAGACGCTTGCAGGTTGTTTTCTAACGGCTCCCAGAAGAGAATTATATATATACGAGCCGACCCGCGGCGGATCATACGCCGCTATTTAGTTGTTTTATTTTCTACTTTTCAGTAATTCATAATTTGTGAATTCGACACTAACCCCCCCTTTCCCCTAACCCCGACCCTAGACCCCCCCCCCCCCCCGTGAAAGCAGCCTCCTCTTAGTTACCTCCTGTAAGTTTAAAATCGTTTCAAACTAAATTATCTGCCCCTAATAGCCGTCACTAAGCCCGTCTCTGTGATCGTAAAATGTAAACAGAGTGAACACCGCTCACCAGATCATGTGGGGGCAGGGGCGTAGCGAGGGGGGGGGGGCGGGGGGTGCGGACCGCACCGGGTGACACCATTTAGGGGGTGACACCAAGGCAAAAAATAGCAAAATATATAGAAAAAAACTTGAGGGGGGGGGTGCAAATCGAAAGTTCGAGGGGGGGGGTGCAAATCGAAAACTTGGGGGGGGGGGGGGGGTGCAAATCGAAAGTTTGAAAGTTTGTCCCCGGGAAGGGTCGCTACGCCTCTAGGGGGTGACACCATTAAGTGCCGCACCGGGTGACACCCGACCTCGCTACGCCACTGTGTGGGGTGGGGGTGGTAGTGATAGTGATAGAGAGGAAGAGAGGGGACTGCAAAGGCGCGCTTGCAGCTTGTTTTCTAACGGCTCGAAGAAGAGAATTATATATATATATATATATATATATATATATATATATATATATATATATATATATATATATATATATATATTATATCTATATATACATATAAGTATATATATGTATGTATATATAACTAATATAAGTATGTATATACTCATGTGTACATGTGCTCACGTATATTTTTTTCTGTATTTAATGTTTTTACCCTCCACCCCCCGCTCCATACATGGTTTAACATATAAGTTATTACGATTCTCAACAAAATCGTTTACCCCAGGCATATTTTGCAACGTTGAGTTAATTTACCCCCCCCCCCCCCCACCCCCCCCCACCCCCCCACGGCGATTACTTTAAACTATGCTCAGATAAAATACTAATAATTTTATCTATATTTTACAAATACATCTTGATGTAGCATGTTTTCTCCATCATTAGCAGGTTTACGTCATGGTGTCACTCCCCCCTCCCCGGCCCCCCACCCTCCACCCTTGTCGGGATTTGTCAAATTTGCTCTTAAAAGACTATTTAACACTTTAATTAATCACTTAATTAAGTGAAATTGTCATTTTTCTGTATATATATATATATATATATATATATATATATATATATATATATATATATATATATATATATATATATATATATATATATATATTTGCCTTGGTGTCAACCCCATAAACGGTGTCGCCCGGAATTGCTATTATTAACTCGTCATTTCTGGATGGATGGATGGATGTGCGCAGCTTTGAGTCGTATCTCCTCCTCAATGAAGCAATATCGAGGACTAGTTCCAAAGCAAATATATTAAGCAAGTTCCGAGGATGATTGTGGGCCGAAAAAATTCCCGGAATTCCTTCCTGGATTTCCCGGAAAAGCCCAAAAACCTCGAAAAAATGCAGTTTTTTACCCATATCTCGGCAACCACACCACTTAGCGACTTGAAACATTTACCAATCGATTCCTGCCATAATTTAGAACAATATTGCAGAAGAAAGTTTTCAAAAATATCCTTTCGTTCGGTCACAAAAAATTAATTAAGAACAAGTAAGTTTATATTTATTACAAGCTTTTATTTAACTCACTTCCTCGTCAGTCTGTCGTCAGTCTGTCGTCAGTCTGTCTAGACGGAAACGCAGGAGTGAAAATTCGGACAGTTCTACTTGACCGACACGATTCACAGTTGGCACGTGGGTCAAGACATGAAGACAATGCAATCTGAAACTAAATTTGACTTAATTGGATGCCTAATTGATTTTTTATGAATTAATTAAAATTTGGACCGAATTAGTAGGCATGTCTAGCCAACCACACCACACGCGTCATCAATAGCTGCGCCATCACGACCACGTAATGGCTGCGTTCAAAAACCATTGCGCGCCTACTGAACGTGATATTCAGTAGGCGCGCAATGGTTTTTAGTCATGTAACTCTATTGTAGATAAAACATGTAAAGTACTGAAAAAAAATTCATAAAAAACGTTTTAATAACAAGCTTTTATGTAATGATGCACTAAAAAGTAGAAAATAAATTATAGACTACTATTTAAATAACTATAAAGAAAAGCGTGGGTGTCTTCCTTAACATTTGTAAAGGTATCCAATAGATACTAAAGTGACCCACGCTTTTCTTTATAGTTATTTAAATAGTAGTCTATAATTTATTTTCTACTTTTTAGTGCATCATTACATAAAAGCTTGTTATTAAAACGTTTTTTATGAATTTTTTTAGGATTATCTTCACTACTTTTTAAACTGAGCATCGCGTAGGCCTAGGATGATATTTACTACTTTTTTAAACTGAGCATCGCGTAGGCCTACTCGTTAAAATAAAACTATTTCCGTTGATATAGGTTAAT